GTGGTAGGTAGAACTCGACTCGGGTCAAAAGTTTAAATTGATGACGTTTTAGAGAAACTCTACCCGTTCGATTTAAACTTTACTTACACGAGTAACCCGAGTTAATCAAATCAAAGTCGACCCTGAGTATAGGTCAGGATTCTACTTCGTCAAAATTATCTCCCCATTACGCCAGCTAATTTTTACAATCGTAAAAATGGAAGCCATTGTAGGGATGACGCGCTGCCAATTTAGCTCTTGAAAACCGATAAATTTATCCACATAGCACCATTACGATCCTTATATGCCAGTTGTATTTTAAAGGACAAATGTATCTATTAGCTATTGAGCATCATTTAATGTACTTTTCTGCATTTAGTCAACTTAAAACTATTGTCTGATCGGTTGTCAGGTGGAATTTTCGAAAGTTCAAAAACATTTAAAAAAATTCTAATTAAATATTTCGCCGAAGGGCAGACTAAAAATTTCAGAGTTTGAAGACTAATAACCCTAGGTAACACACACAAAAAATTAAGTTTTTTGAAGTTATGCATTTTTAAGATCCACTTGGAAAGTCTGTCGTCAAGAACTTTTAGTAAAAATTTGTTATTCGAACACACCTACTCTGTTATGACTCATTAGAAAGGTATTTCACTTGACCCATATATTTCAGATTTTAGTACTGTGAATTTTTAATGTTATCAAATCAACCTGTAGCCTAAATATATAAAAAAAATAATAGAATCTGAAGCGAGATGATGTATCTAATATTTTTGCTTTATACGTTTTCAAGACGGAATAGTCCTCAAAAACGCCCGAACATAAAAAGGTGCACTCGACTTTCTCTTTTCGATGAAATTATTGCCCATTCTTAGGATTCTTTCCCAAAAAACTGTCGCCGGGGGCAGAGATGCAAATTAATGCTTTAAAAAGATCAATCTATTATCTTTCTGTGGAATTTTTTCCCCACTTGTATTTGCTCCTACCACAATCGACTGTTTTATGAAATTTGTCTATAATTTAAAAGTTTACAAATATCTCGAAGCTCCATACTATAATTTAAGCAAAACACGTATATAAGATGCATAAAATCCTAAATTATGCACCTTTAGTAAACTTATAAAGCCCATAGAAACAGATGTAAATAATTCAAATATACCAATTTGGCTTTTTTACCTTCTCTAACAAAAAGTTCCATTTCTTTTGTTTGATTTCAACTGGGTATCCGCCTGACTGAGTAGGTGTGTTTAAGGTTCATGCATCATAATCTTTTGGCTAATATGACCTTATTTACACCACAATTTATACTTTGTGTACAAACAAAACTGTGCACCTGGAAAAGATTTAAGGCATGGCAGGACCTAATTAATTAAATTCTAAATGCATTTTATGTTTCAGAAACTTATAAACTTTTCTAGATTTTTACTTGACGACAGCCTTTACTTGTAGATCATTTTTGTGCATAACTTCCACAAAAAAATGTGTGTTATCTATAAGGTAATTACTCTTCAACCTCTAAAAATATTAAGTCTGCCCTTCCACGAAATATTTAATTATATTTTTTTGTGTTTTTTTTTCAACTTTCGAAAATTCCCCTTGACAACCGATCAGACAATAGTTTAAAGTTGACAAAAGGCCTTAAAGTACATTAAATGATGCTTAATAGCTAGAAGATACATTTGTTTTTATTTTAAATACAACTGTCATGTAAGAATGGTAAGGATGCTAAGTGAATGAACTTATCGGTTTTCAAGAGCTAAAACGACAGCACGTCATCCCTATAATGGCTTCCATTTTCACGACTAAAAAAATTAGGTGGTGTAATGGGGAGATAATTTTGACGAAATAAAATCCTGACTGTATGTACTTTACATAAACATAGAAGATATATGGTATTTCAAAAAAGTAAATGCGAGATAAAAACAAGAGTGCACACGATGAAATATATCGCCTGCTTTACTCTATGTTGAAAGTCTTTAACATAAGAGTTTTATTAGCTCACCGGGCCCAAAGGGCCCCATGTGAGCTTATGCCATCACTTGGCGTCCGTCGTCTGTCGTCGTCGTCAACTACTTCAAGAATCTTCTCTGAAACTTCCGGGCCAAATACCTTCAAACTTTAACTGAATGTTCCTTAGGGTATCTAGTTTATAAATTGTATCCGAAGTTTTGATCCATCAACAAACATGGCCGTCATGGCTAAAAATAGAACATAGGGGTCAAATGCAGTTTTTGGCTTATATCTCAAAAACTAAAGCATTTAGAAAGCAAATCTGACAGGGGTAAAATTGTTCAATATGTCAAGATATATCAACCCTGAAATTTTCAGACGAACCGAACAACCCATTGTTGGGTTGCTGCCACTAAATTGGTAATTTTAAGGAAATTTTGCAGTTTTTGGTTATCATCTTGAATATTATTGAAGATAAAGATAAACTGTAAACAGCAAAAATGTTCAGCAAAGTATGATCTACAAATAAGTCAACATGATCAAAGTCAGTCGATCAAAGTAGTCAATTGACCCCTTGAGGAGTTATTGCCCTTAAAACTTTTTTTTTTACATTTTTTGTGAAATTATAATTACTTTTTCAAAAATCTTCTCCTCTGAAACTACTTGGCCAATTACTAAAAACTTTAATTTAGGTTTAGATCTACCTGTCAAGTAATCTTCAGACCAATAGGACAACTTATTGTTGGATTACTGTCCAGAAATAGTTATTTTTTAGGAAATTTTACAGTTTTGGGTTATGTATTATCTATAATGTTATTATAGACAGAGAGAAAGTGTAAATGACAAAATTGTTCAGCAAATTAAGATCTACAAATAAGTCAAATGACTGAAACTGAAATTACAGGTGAGCGATATCAGGCTCTCATGAGCCTCTTGTTACAAGTCAGTATCGCATCAACCAGGAGGCTAAAATTATTTCATAAATTCTATAAAATGAAATTCAGACGGACATTTGAATATATACAATATGTTGATAAGCATTTTTGTTTGTTTCTAAACGTTTTGTTATGTTTTGTTTACGTTGTGTGTAGTCCCTGTGTAAGCTAAGTGGTTGTGTAATTGTATTTACATCAACAATATTTAGTAAACAGACCAACATTCATTAATCCTCTGGGTGCAGTATAATGTATATGTCTTTACGTTAAACACGTTTTCATAATTTTGAAAATTCAGAATGGTAAAGAATAGAGCATGGAAACGGGTAACGTGTAAAAGGGACAACAACCCGACTGAAGAGCAGAAAACAACCCAAGGCCACCAATGGGTCTTCAACTCAGCAAGAAATTCCCCCACCCGGAGGCTGGCTTCCAAATTGAAAGGAGCAAAGACTGGAGTCCAGAACATGAACCAGCATGCAAGAATGAAGCAAGTAAAAGGATAAAACTGTACGGCGTAAGACGCCAAGCATTTCACTTGTATGAAGAAACAAAAAGCTATTATCTTATGAATTTATATCATTTTGAACTTCCTCTGGACATAGGTAAATCCCGTTATTGTTTCGGTATTCTGCGTGTAAATAAACTAGTCACAGGAATCTATAATTAGTATTTATCTGTGTGTTACTTGCAAAACATTTGTGATAGATCATCTTCACCTCGTTAGATTCCTTGGTATGCACATGTTTTAATTAATGATCTTGGTAGCCTCTTTTCGTCACAGGAACAAACAATAATTTTGGTGGGATCAATGATTCCTGATTTATTGATAAGTTTTATCGGTATTCGTCATCTAAACAGACTATTTTTGCAGGACCATTATTTAACAACTCTTATTCGGTATCGGGTCCATAAACCCACGATAGATTTCTCAGTTAGGCACCGACCATTCATCTTTTATGGGGGCATGAGGTATTTTTAAGATACATGGTGTTCCTAACAAGGAGTTTGGTAGTAAGACAATTCAAATCCTTCGTTATTAATGTCCTGAAAAAAATTATTTGTTTAAGAAGTGTTGTTTCTATTGAAAATTAATATCTAAACACCTTATGAAGATTAACCAATGTAAATCAATGAAATAAGATAACTGTACCTTGTATACCAGAAAATATTTTCCATTTTTAATTATGAATACAAATATGAATCACACCAATGAAATGGAAACAAACGAAGAGTGATTTAATATTATCTAAGTAACATATGGTCAAAAATCAATGTATCTAAAAAAGTGATGGAAATGTAAAGGTTAATGGTATTTTAGTTATGTAGTTATCACATCTGTTACACACCAGCGTGTAATAATCTACAAAATATGGATAATCACTGTTGTATAATTCAGGGAGCTGTCATTCTCACTATTCACTTGTTTAAACATTGGTATTACCATTATCACGTGATAGATAATTGATGCTTATGGGTACTTTGATAAAAGTATAAAGGAATTCAATGTAGACAAGCACTTTCTATGCTTATATATATAATTCGTCTAAATAACCCAACAATGTTAGATCTGTTCATCCTTGGCCGGGATTCGAACTCATGCTACTGAGATATCGTAGCACCAAATCGCCGTGCACTATGCCTGACGCGCTAGACCATTCGACCACCTAGGCTCGACAAAAATCAAGCTTTCAATGGCCGGGTGTTACCTTTCCTCGTAACACAGTACATGATATATAAGGCATGAATATATATATATATGTACTATATAAACAAATTAACAACAGTTAATACCCTGAACAATAACTACAATCATAAAATTCTGACTGTTTATCAAATTAATACTTTTAAATTAGTTCAAAGATTTTAATCCATGTAACAGTGTAATGTGATAAATATATGTTTAATAAATAAAAATATAACTTGAATAAATATGTTCTTTGTGTATTTTCAACAACATGCTTGTATTATAAATTTTGTTAGTCAACATGTACTTAACGGCTCATAATATACAGACAAATCTGATATACAAAAAAAGACAAAAGATAGACAAGCAAAAGCTGTATGTTGTACTAATGACGTAAGCATAAAAATAGTAACAAACGAAAATACGGACTTCAAAAAATTTGAGCTTACCTCGCAATAGGTGCAAAGGTCTTTTGAATAGTACTACGTGGATAGATTTACATGTTCAGGATTATGAAAATATACCTGTATAACAAATAAACAAATTGAAATTCATATTTAACTACTGATCCACAAAATTCATGTTTTACTGTACTGATCCACGAAATTCATGTTTTACTGTACTGATCCACCTGTACACAATTTGTATTCATAAATGAAAAAAAAATCGTTTCCTCCTAATATTTACTCTGTTTAAAATACCTAAACCATTCATACCGGAACACTCGAATTCTCACACATCGTACTATATATCTTTTTATAGCATTCATCTCGCGATCTTTAGTCCAAGGTAAAACAATTTTATACTTGGACAATTAGCGTGTAATTATCAGTAATAGAGGAAATTTAATGTGAACTGTAAATAAGAATAACTTTAGATTATCACAATTTGTCCATCACAATAACAAAACCGTAGACAACAATAAAGAACAAAAGAAATATAGCAACAAACCATAATAACCAATACAAACAAAGTAAGTGTGCGTAAGATGTTAAAATTCTTCTCAACAAAGTAAGTGTGCGTAAGATGTTAAAATTCTTCTCAATAAAGGTATCTCCCACCAAAATAGCACAGAATATCTAGACTACTAAAGGAACGAACCGCAAATTTTCTGGAAACGTGTAGTTAAAACTTCAAGGGTTATATTATACAGGTTGCCCTAGCATTGAAGTTTCATCTCAAGTACATGCAGGTATAAACTTTCTTCACGTTTATTTGCAAATGCATTTTGTATGCATTTTTAAATACGACATTCAAAGATGTATCTAATTGTGGATGAAATTGCAGTGAATACGTAAATCAAAAAGAAAAGCAACCAATGAAATCTGATCAACTTGAATGAAACATATCGAACTTGAAAATTCTCCAAAACAGATACATAAAGATGTAAATGTAGATAGAGATATGATTATTAAAGAAAATGGTGATTTCGATCATTGTTAATGTTGAAAATAATTATTCAAATTTCATTAAAAATAGCCTATTGGCTTGAATGAATGACTTACAGTTGAACGTGTTGAAATGACACTCAAGTTTGTCAAACGCAAGTTGTTTCAATATAAAGACTGGTACCAAGTGGTTTCATTTGCGCTTCATCGTTTATCTTCCGTTATAGACACGCAAACAAAGAAACCACTTGGCACATGTCAACGAAACCACGTGGGATCAGCTATGTATATCAAAACCATTTGGCACCAGTCACCAGTCTTTATATTGAAATGGCTTGGCACACTGTTGAATGGTCAATGTGACCCCTGACCTGATCGATCTTTTCAGAGACATAACAGAGTACTACAATGGTCTGGTGATGGAAGAATGGTCATCTAACATTATAATACTCCCTGATGATCGTCAATTCAATCATGACAGTAACCGATACGATTTGTATTAGTTTTTTAAGTGTCAGTTCAGCATAAGAAACACATTTATGCACGACGCACTCGACTATAAAACGCGACCATATTGTAATAATAATATCAACAAGTCCGGTAGTATATGAAGTAGGTGCTCGCTCGCACCAGACAACTTACAAGGCTTCACCTAGATTATACACGTTTTGGATTTAAGAAGAATAATTTGAAGTACAGCTATTTAGGAATTCATGTTTTAAATCTGATCTTTTATAGAGATTGTATGTAATATTGTTGATAGCGATGTCATTTGTGATGCAATTTAATGTAATGGCACTTATTAAGTTGTAGTTAATACATATAGAACATAATAAGGAGACGTGTTTACATTTTGATTGAGTTCTAAATGTTACAAAAAATATAAAATATACTACTGAGTCATGGAAAATAAAATAAATACATGTACAATGACTAGTATAATAAATGCGGATTCGTTTTATGATTAAAACATGTATTTAATGTTTTATGTTTGAGATAAATATGCTTGAACATTTTTTAGTTTCAGTTGTGTTGTATGTCTTTTATGTATGTTTACAGAGTTTTTGGCTGCTGGATTCCAACTATTGTCAAATTAACCAATTATGTCTGTTTGGGTTGCTCACCCAATTTTGTCAATATAACGGAACTATAATAAACAACTGTAATACAAGTGGAAGATTTAGCTAGCTATAAAACCATGTTTAACCCACCATTTTCTTCGGAAAATGCCCGTTTCAAGTCAGGAATATGACATTTGTTTTCCACTCGTTCCGTCGGTTGATAACGTTTGATTTTGTCAGTTTTTACGGACGTCCCCTTTTTAAATTTACCTTGGGGGTTTGGTATTTTTGTTATACTTTTTTTTTGCATGGCAATTTACATCGATCTTTTAGTTATGATGCCCTCTTGTCGAATCATTTAAAGTTTAAAAAAAAGTACGGTAGCAAAAATACACATATATACTAACCTTAAACATAGATGGCAACATATCCTGTTTCCTGTTATCAATAATACCAAACGGAACTGGTCGCTAAATAGTGATCACTACTTACTTGTGTCATTGTTGTCTGTTTTATGATAGAAATCCGTTAATATGTAAAGAAAATAAACTTTCGTGACGTAACAAGATATAAATTTAGAAAATGTTCATTCATGTGAAAATGGACTGATTCAAAGTCCTCTATTTATGTTCTTTACTCATGCATAAAGAAATTTAAATTTTCATAAAATACTGTAGTTGAAGAAATGTAATATATTTTTGATAGTTTAACACATTTGATGGAAATGAAATGGATATTGAAAATATGAAACAAAAATGAAGAGTGTAAAAAAGAGTGTAAAAACGGTACTCAACATATACTACCATATATATTTAAATGTAACAAAATTAAACATGTCAGATATTCAAATACACCCTTACAATATGAAAACAACGTTATTTATAAGGAATAAAGGCTTTGGTTGAAATAAACTCTGAAAAACAAGGTGTTACTTATATTATTTAAAAGTCCTCAATTAAAAACCAGAGAATATGAAAAGATATAAACATACAGTTGAAAATTAGAAACCCACATTAATTAACTATATTGCGTAACAGTAGCTGCACCATGCACTGTGCAAGTTTTTAATATGGGTTTTACTTTTTTTGTGTTTTGTGTTTTGTTTTATATTTTTGTGTTTTTGTTTTATTTTTTTGTGTTTTTGTTTTTGTTTTTTTTTTTGGGGGGGGGGGGGGGGGGGGGGGAGGGTACTTTACACGTGTTGAATTATACAACACCATATATCAAAACATACAGGCAGGTTATCTCAAAGGTCGGCTTCAAATAATGCGGGGAAATGAATAACATGGCCTAGTAAAAACGGAAAATAACGGATAATATTGCCAAAGACAGGATCAAAGTGAAACTTCTGCCGTACAAAATGCAGAAAATAATTATGTTCAAAATCAAAATAAATTTGCGTAAAGTAAATAAGTAGGTCTAGCAAGAGGTTGAAATGGATGTTCCGACTGCAAAAAAATAATCTCCCAACTCCCCCTCCCCTCGGAAAATAATTGGACGTCGCTTACGAATTATATAGATATAAGAAGATGTGGTATGAGTGCCAATGAGACAACTCTCCATCCAAGTCAAAATTTATAAAAGTAAACCATTATAGTCTAGATTACCAAAGGGTGGGGTTTTCAGAGGAGACGGATGTTGGTGTGGTCTGATGTACTTTCTAATATCTTCGGTAATTCCGAAGTTTCTGTATAAAATATAGCAACTGATATAATTTGTCAAACGATATGAATTCTTATCAGCAAGTTATATCTATTTTGAGCTAGCTGGCAGTGCATGCGAATGAACCCATTTATAAAACATTGTCCTCTTCTATATAGGTAAAGCACTTAATCTTTTATATTAGTATAGTAAATGATAGAAAAGTCAGAAAACTATTTACAAATTATACTGTACTAAAGGATGCACGATGTTTTATTTTCATTAAATGGGCTCACAAAGAGCATATTACAAGACTAAGACATTATTTTAAACAACAACTAAAAACAATAATCAAGAATACATACAAAGAAAAAAACCCAGTTTGAACATGTTTGAACTAAACGCACATATAAAACACATGTATATGTTCTAATATGAACGTTTTGTAATCTACTGATTGATATTAAAGAAGGGCAGGCTTGAGATCTAAAAAAACCTAGTTAAAACCAGTTTCATATTCATGTGTGTGTCCCAATATGGAACATCGTCAAAAGTTGTCGTAAAGTTGTCGTTTGTCATATCTTATTGTGTTGTTATAGGAGTACGGGTTGTTAATTAATGACCGTTCTTTGATTGTTTTCTGAATGCTTATTTACAGCTCATATAGGCTCTGTACGATCTAGAGATTGACAAATTATATAGACATCTGTCGTAGACTATGCGTTGCCCTGTGGATGTCTTTGGGTAATTTGTGTCGTTCGGTTGCCGTCTCATTCCCGTTTACTCCACCAATCCTTTTATTCAAATGGAAATTTAATTAATAAGTTAAATACGAATAGGCTATTTGATATGTACAGATATGATATTTAGATATTCTCTTTCTTGTAATTTGAGTTTTAGTAATCAAACTATATCCCCCTTTTTTGCTAATCATCTCTACTGGTAAAGGGGAGGACACTCTTACCCATTTGTCATATAAAGTCGACATTTTACCAGTTCCCATACCTAACTTCTTTTCAAGGGAGCCTCGGTCGCCGAGTGGTCTAAGTAGTCCACTGTATCACTAGCCTGTCAACAATGAGGTTGTGAGTTCGAATTCCGCACGTAGCAGGTGCACTCGACTCAAATCTTAATTGCCTAGGATTGTCAGTTCAGTTTTCCTACAGAAGGTCGGTGGTTCTCTCTTGGCACTCCGACTTCCCCATCATTAAAAACTGACCGCCACGAAATAGCACAATAGTGCTGAAAGTAGCATTAAACACCAATCAATCAAATACTTTCTTTCAATTCAATTTATTCAAAAATTTACATGTCCTTTATTAATTGACAATGTTTATTTTAAGAATCAATATGATACTCCAATTCGCATACCAGTGTTTTCTAGTTTTTTTTAATTATAAGAAATCCCACCTTTTTATGGCCTGTATGGACATGTGAATGCCAGTGAAGTATCAGCTAATTGAATGGTAGCTGATACGCCATAGCAATTGTAGAAAGAAGCTGTAAGAATATCGTCACCGACGTAACAAGTTCACCAAAGATCTAGAAATGGGACAGAAGACGTAGAAAACGAAACTTGTAATTGTTTTGGAACAAATAAAATGAAAATGTTTTTCGTTATCTTTGCAATATTAATATATATATCACCTTTAACATTATGGTATGTCCATTGTATGTTTGCTGACTCTCATTAGACATAACTCATATTACATAGGATTTTATAGATTCGCCATGAATTGTTATCTATGCTATATAGTATACCAATGCAAATGCGCATCTAGCAAAACCGTTTAACGTTATGTACATGGAGACCCATGGGTTTCCACACGGCCAATTCAAGGGGTTTACCTGGAGTTTCCAGATCCAAAAAATCAGTGTCGTCATTGGAATTCCAATGCAAAACAAAGTTCTGTATGTATGAACAATTTGTATTTGTAAAATATAACCGGTAACAACTGATTGCAACGTAAATTGCTAATGATGCACAAAAAGGCCATAACAGCTAGTTTCACCCAAAAGGCAACAGCGTGCAAAATACATAGTCATATAGTCGTCTCTTAAATAGGTTGTCTCAACAGGGACTTTATTTCTTGTTATTTGCAACTCTAATTTCCATTTCTTTCTTTCTATCTATTACTCCAATCTATCTCTTCGGACACCTAATGATTGAAATATACCGATGTTCTATACAAAGAAACACAGGCACTTGTCACTGATTTTTTTCTTACCTGCATACCTTTATATAGTAATTTTTCAGAGAAAAGTGTCTGTGCAAATGCAGACTTTAAATTTATTGGTTCATTGGAATATACCATCTGCTAGAAGATTTTCAACTGTGTGATTTGTTCTTACTTGCTCATTTACTTATTACTTACTTTGTGCTACCGAAGGTGTGACATATATATGTTGAAATGTAAATGACCTCGGCTTTATTGACGAATACAAAACAATTTAAACACAAAATCATGAATTTATGCAGAACGCTGTAAAATTACAAAACATGTTTTATAGATTTTATTCACAATAACAAGCTACCCCCAACACAACATCATTGATTCCTTTAAACACGGAATATAACAATCAATTAATAAGTCATATGATATTCACAAAGCTATACAAATGTTTCTTCCTGACAAAATTAATGCAGCAAAAACATCGGCTTAAAATAACGTAATAAAATTAGGATTTAAAACGAATATCCGAATATTTTTAGATGTCAAATATGGTACTTGACAACTGGAGCATAAAATCTAGGTCATGGTCAAATGACACAGTTTGTGATAAATCAAAGTTACATTTTTCGCAAGTCTATAACAGGCCTAATCTGAAAATTTGAGGCTGAAAATAAGGAAAATACACATCCACTGAGTCAGTGATTCCTGACAGCTACAACTATAACAACAACTGAGTGTGTGATTCCTGACAGCTACAAATATAACAACCACTGAGTGTTTGATTCCTGACAGCTACAAATATAACAACTACTGAGTGTGTGATTCCTGACAGCTACAAATATAACAACTACTGAGTGTTTGATTCCTGACAGCTACAAATATAACAACTACTGAGTGTGTGATTCATGACAGCTACAACTATAACAACCACTGAGTGTGTTATTCCAGATAGCTACAAATATAACAACCATGCACTGAGTGTGTGATTACTGATAGCTACAAATGTAACAACCACTGAGTGTGTGATTCATGACAGCTACAACTATAACAACTACTGAGTGTGTTATTCCAGATAGCTACAAATATAACAACCATGCACTGAGTGTGTGGTTCATTACAGCTACAACTATAACAACTACTGAGTGTGTTATTCCTGACAGCTACAACGTATTTGATTTTAACGAAAGAAATCTCTGTATTACTGAAAAATTATTACACCAGGGTTTTCGATATCACAAACTAGTCAAAAAATTTACTAAATTTTATCATTGATACAAGGACATCATTCGTAAATATAAATCAACATGCAGACATCTTATACGTACAGGTATTTCACATCCAATCTTTTATGGTAATATTCTTTACAAAGCACAAAAATGTCGGTATTCACCTCAAAAGCTAACCAAACCTTTAAACAGACTTATTCGGAAGGGATATAGTTACGATACTGTTGTCAAGTCATTAAGGATTGCATATTTTGGTATTAATATTGATTCCCTCATAGGGTCTTTGCATCGGAAATAAACACATTTATTCTAAAACCAGTTGTTGGCATGATACGGGTTATGTTCTTCTCATATATGTTATGATGGTATGATACTAAACCCCTAACGGGAGGGATTGTACTTGATATTCATATGATGAAGACATAATCTTTCAATCAGTTTAATTGAGGTCTGGAGCTGGCATGTCAGTAACTGCTAGTAGTCCTTTGTTAATTTATGTATTTTTGTCATTTTGCTTAATTTCTTTTGTTACCTATTCTGACATCGAACTCGGACTTCTTTTAAACCGAGTTTTACTGTTCGTATCGCTGTGTGTTTCTTTATTCTACATTGGCTAGAGGTATATATAGGGGGAGGGTTGAGATCTCACAAAACATGTTTAACCCCGCCGCATTTTTGCGCCTGTCCCAAGTCAGGAGCCTCTGGCCTTTGTTAGTCTTGTATGTTTTAAATTTTAGTTCATTTATATGTTTTGGAGTTTAGTATGACGTCCATTTTTACTGAACTAGTACACATTTTTATTAAGGAGCCAGCTGAGGACCACCTCCGGGTGCGGGATTTTCTCGCTGCGTTGAAGACCCATTGGTGGCCTTCGGCTGTTATCTGCTCTTTGGCCGGGTTGTTGTCTCTTTGACATATTCCCCATTTCCATTCCCAATTTTAGTAATGACTGTAGATGATGGGATAGGCTAGTAATTACTGTAGATGAGATGCTAGGCTAGTTACGACTGTAGACGAGGGGATATGCTAGTTACGACTGTAGATAGGATGATAGGCTAGTTATGACTGTAGATGAGGGGATAGGCTAGTTATGACTGTCGATGAGGGGATAGGCTAGTTATGACTGTAGACGAAGGGATAGGCTAGTAATGACTGTAGGTGAGGGGATATGCTAGTTATAACTGTAATTGAGGGAAGAGGCTAGTTATGACTGTAGATGAGGTGATAGGCTAGTTATGGCTACAGATGAGATGATAGGCTAGTTATGACTGTAGATGAGGGGATAGGCTATTTGTGACTGTAGATGAGATGATAGGCTAGTTATGACTGTAGATGAGGGGATATGCTAGTAATGACTGTAGGTGAGGGGATATGCTAGTTATAACTGTAATTGAGGGAAGAGGCTAGTTATGGCTGCAGATGAGATGATAGGCTAGTTATGACTGTAGATGAGGGGATAGGCTAGTTATGACTGTAGATGAGGGGATAGGCTAGTTATGACTGTAGACGAAGGGATAGGCTAGTAATGACTGTAGGTGAGGGGATATGCTAGTTATAACTGTAATTGAGGGAAGAGGCTAGTTATGAATGTAGATGAGGTGATAGGCTAGTTATGGCTGCAGATGAGATGATAGGCTAGTTATGACTGTAGATGAGGGGATAGGCTAGTTGTGACTGTAGATGAGATGATAGACTAGTTATGACTGTAGATGAGGGATAGGCTAGTAATGAATGTAGGTGAGGGGATAGGCTAGTTATGACTTTAGATGAGGGGGTAGGCTAGTTATGACTGTAGATGAGGTGATAGGCTAGTTATGACTGTAGGTGAGGTGATAGGCTAGTTATGACTGTAGATGAGGGGATAGGCTAGTAATGACTGTAGATGAGGGGATAGGCTAGTTATTACTTTAGATGAGGGGATAGGCTAGTTATGACTGTAGATTAGGGAATAGGCTAGTTATGACTGTAGATGAGATGACAGGTTAGTTATGACTGTAGATGAGGTGATAGGCTAGTTATGACTGTAGATGAGGGGATAGGCTAGTAATGACTGTAGGTGAGGGGATAGGCTAGTTATGACTGTAGTAGGGGGTAGGCTAGTTATGACTGCAGATGAGGTGATAGGCTAGTTATGACTGTAGATGAGGGGATTGGCAAGTTATGGCTGTAGATGAAGTGATAGGCTAGTTATGACTGTATATGAGATGATAGGCTAGTTATGGCTGTAAATGAGATGATAGGCTAGTTGTGGCTGTAGATGAGGGGATAGGCTAGTCATGACTCTAGATGAGGGGATAGGCTAGTTATGACTGTAGATGAGGGGATAAGCTAGTTATGATTGTATATGAGGGGATAGGCTGGTCATGACTAGATGAGGGGATAGGCTAGTTATGACTGTAGATGAAGTGATAGGCTAGTTATGACTGTATATGAGATGATAGGCTAGTTATGGCTGTAAATGAGATGATAGGCTAGTTGTGGCTGTAGATGAGGGGATAGGCTAGTCATGACTGTAGATGAGGGGATAGGCTAGTTATGACTGTAGATGAGGGGATAAGCTAGTTATGATTGTAAATGAGGGGATAGGCTAGTCATGACTAGATGAGGGGATAGTTATGACTGTAGATGAACCCAAAGTTGAGAGAAGTAAAATGACATGTTATATTAAATGAAATTCTAAAAGTAAAAAAAAAAACATGGCTGTTTACAATATTTTACAGATAAGACATTATTCAGATTAATATAAAAAAAACAAGTAACAAAAGATAACATAAATAATTTTAATAATTTTCTTATCATCTTTACACAATAGTTCATGCTTCTTCCTTAACAAATACATGATAAAAATCTATAACTGGTAACAAATTATAATAAAATCATTGCATTTATTAAGTACTTGTTGCATTTTGTTTTAAACATCAATAAGTGTGACTGTGAATATTATGATAATGTTACATTTTTCTCTTTATGGCATTATATTCTAAGTAAAACATTTGAATTCAAAGAAGCATTATTGCCTCCAATCAAATTTATCCTTAACTAAGTTACTTCAATATTGACTGTCATGATAGAACCTCCTAGACTGTCCTACAGAAGTCTTCTAGAAATAAAGTATTAGGACTTGCATCAAAGCAATCATGTACCTTTACAATAATGAATCGCATGAAAAATTATAGATGCACAACATAAACTCATTTCTAGCAAGAAAAAGCTTATTGGTATAATGAGTTTCACTCCTTTTCTAGTAATGGTGATCTTGACCTTGGCAGTACTGAGCTTCTAATACTCAATAAACTTGACCTTTGCAGTATTGAGCTTCTAAGCATGATTCAATAATCTTGACCTTGACAGTATTGAGCTTCTAATATTCAATAATCTTGACCTTGACAGTATTGAGCTTCTAATATTCAATAATCTTGACCTTGGCTCTATTGAGCTTCTAATATTCAATAATCTTGACCTTGACAGTATTGAGCTTCTAATATTCAATAATCTTGACCTTGGCAGTATTGAGCTTCTTATATTCAATAATCTTGACCTTGGCAGTATTGTACTTCTAAAATTCAATAATCTTGACCTTGTAAGTATTGAGCATCTAATATTCAATAATCTTGACCTTGACAGTATTGAGCATCTAATATTCAATAAAGATCATCGTAATTAGTCACATGTAACATGTCAGGATGAGGTGAATCGTTATGACAGCGAGCAGTGAGTCATGCTCACCTTCACTATTGACTGGAGATATCTTTACCAGTATACACTCACTTGAACATCAAACCGCCAACTGGGATCTCTCAGCTAGGAATGGAGATTACAAACTAGTAATAAGACGGAAAAAGTCCAGGCAACAAGAAGAGCAGAACGAGTCGCCTACATTTCCAAAAACATGGAAAAGGTCATCAAAAGCGAAAACAGACAGGAATAAACGCCGCCTAGAAGCTTTTATAGCTAAGAAGTCCACACCATCGACAATTGAGAACGGAGAACCCTCTCAAAAATGTCTAGAAAAATGACCCCAATGTAGATTCAACCAATAACACCGAAGAGAAGGGAGAATATACCGCAAAACCTACAGAGGAAATGACTACACAGGAACAACCGGTAGTCACAGTACTCGACGACAACAGAAAACTACCCTGTACACCACAAAAGGATCCCCCCTGCACAACAGGTGCTGAGGGTCAACCTTCAGCAAATCCTGCAGGAATGGAAACATCTCAACCAACTTCACGAATCAGGGTAGGAAAGATAACACTAGATCTACCACAACAGACCTTCCTGTTCGAGGTTGAAAAAGAAAACAGTTTTATTCTAGTCTACTAGGATAAGCTGTATCCATACAAAATGATCGAGAAAGAAAAAGACCCAGATTTCTACAATGCCATCAAAAGAAGTCATGATCACTGGCTAGATGTACAAGACAAGAGGAATTTCTTATATACAGAGGAAAGAAAGCTGAACATTGAAGAAGTGGCTAAAAAACACTATTTCAAATTGAGAAAATTAAATAAATAAAATAAAGGCTATATGAGACCAAACCTGTTAAAGTCCCTCTTTTGTTATATTTTTGTGTTATTGGGGCGAGATAAGCCCATCCCTTTTCTTGTCGAAAAAAAAAAAGATCATCGTAATTATTTTTACCTCAGTGTACTAAATTTGCAATTATATTCATTCAAAATAGTTGACAATATTCAATATGGGTACATATTTCTAGTTGAATGACAACAAAAATATAACAGACAACAAACTGACAGTAGGTAGAATTATAAAGTATGCACTGATGATTACATGGACCGTAGGTAGAATTAACAAGTATGCACTGATGATTACATGTACCATACACATTCAGAAATCAAATGGAGTTTAATAATCACCTTAGTATTATAGAGTTAAATTATTTTCCTGTAATGGTGTAGCATCTATTATACATCTTGATTGGGAATAAAAGAGGAAGCCTGGTTATCTAAAATGTATGTTTTCCAGTCTTCTATATTAATGGAAAGTCTTTGTTACAGTTATCACAACCATTTAGATTCAGGGGGATTTACAGTATATACACCTGTCTTGTCTTTTGTTAAATACTGTTGAGTTCTAGACATTTTGGATTTTTGTGTCAATGGGTTGCGGTCTCATTGACATACATTCCACCCCTCTTTTTATTTTTTAACATATAAATAACACACATACTTAATGATCACTTAATACATACACACTTGATTATCACATGTACAATACACACTTAATGATCACTTAATAAACACTCTATAATCACATATACAATACACACTTAATGATCACTTAATAAACACTCTATAATCACATATACAATACACACTTAATATTCACTTACAAGATATGTACTAAAGGATCAGTTATAAAAAGCACATTTCCTGATTACATATACAATGCACGTTTAATGATCCCAAATAAAAAACACATTCAAAGATGTTCAATCTATGACAACAGGAATCACACTGTTTTTTTGTCTTTATCATCTCCTAATTCTAATTCCATATTTAATCCATCTTCTATAACAAAACTGAAAAGAAAGAAAACATTTCTTTATTTTTTAGAAATGCTGGTGAACAGAGATTAAAGAATGAATTCAGTGATTGTACAGTTGTTGTCTAATTGTAAGCACTTAAGGATGTTTGCTACTCTGTTTCAAAATAACAAGCTTTTTGAAAGACTGTCATAAATTGATAGTATATAAATGAAGGAACTAAAAAAGCAGAAAAAAATGAAGGGTCCGTGTAATTGTTTTCGAGATATAAGCCATTGAAAATTTGGCGGGAAATGATTCTCTCTAGATTTTTCAAACATTTAACATTGGCACCTTTTTTCTTTCAAAAACATTGAAAAAATAACAAGGATTTAATAAGATTTTCAAAGATGGCTTTTTAAACTATATGTAATAAAATTATGAAAAGAAAAGTAGGGGTTAGTGGACAAAATTTCTTAATGGAAAAACATGGATAAAACCAGAGGATTCCGAATATCTGACAAAAAATCAAAAACAAGAGGAGCGAATTAAGTCTCTTAAAGTATCATCAATGTGCAGAAATGAACATTTAATTTATATACTTAATAAACCACTGTTATTTTAGAATAATTACTATACATGTATGTTTCATTAGAATCCATAATTTAATTTGCGGACAACAATAGTGAGACACTCCAATATCATATCTCATTTCCGTATACAATACAACAACTATGACTGCATGTGCTATCGGTTACATTATGTTAAAATAATTCATTGAAAAACAAACGAAAAGCTTGGTACAACTCTTAATTTCATGGTTGTAGCACAAAAATGTAATTACAAGTATTGAATGCTTCTTTTTATTATTCTATAGGGTTGTAAAAGCGTTGATCATGCGCACATTTTTATACGACTGCAAACAAATTTTGCGGTCGTATATTGGTATGACGTTGGCATCGACCGAAGACACATTGGTTTTCGCACAATAACTTTAGTTTAAGTAAATGGATCTCTATGAAATTTTACCATAAGGTTCAATACCACAAAAGGAAGGTTTTTGGGGGTTATGGTACCAACAGTTAAGGAATTAGGGGCCAAAAATAAGCATTTTAGTAACTTCCAGACAATAACTTGTGTGTTAGTGTATGGATCTCCCTGACATTGTACCACAAGGTTCCATATCACAAAGGGAATGCTGGGATTGATTTTGGGGGTAATTGCCTCAAAATTTTAGGAATTAGGAGCCAAAAAAGGGGCAAAAAACAAGAATTTTTCTAGTTTCATGACAATAACTTGTGTGTAAGTGTATGGATCTTTCTGAAATTGTACTACAAGGTTCCATATCACAAAGGGAAAGCTGGAATTGAGTTTGGGGGTAATTGCCCAAAACGTTTAGGAATAAGGGGCTAAAAAGGGGCCAAAAATAAGCATTTTTCTAGTTTCCAGACAATAACTTGTGTTCAAGTGTATGGATCTCTCTGAAATTGTACTGCAAGGTACCATACCACAAAGGGAAGGCTGAGATTGATTTTGGGGGTAATTGCCTCAAAATTTTAGGAATTAGGGGCCAAAAAGGGGCAAAAAACAAGCATTTTTCTAGTTTCAGGACAATAACTTGTGTGTAAGTGTATGGTTCTTTATGAAATTGTACTACAAGGTTCCATATCACAAAGAGAAAGCTGGGTTTGAGTTTGGGGGTAATTGCCCTAAACGTTTAGGAATTTGGGGCCAAAAAGGGGCCAAAAAACAAGTATTTATACAGTTTCCAGACAATAACTTGTGTTCAAGTGTATGGATCTCTCTGAAATTGTACTGCAAGCTACCATACCACAAAGGGAAGGCTGGGATTGAGTTTGGGGGTGATGAATCATAAGGGGGTTCAAAAAATTGGAAGGGGGGGGGGTTCCTTTTTTTTTTTCTTTAAAATTTTCCATTTTAAGTTGGTTATTTTTTATTTATATATAAAAGCAAATAATAATGATAAGGTTTGATTTATTCAAAAATTGAAATATTGGGGTTCTTTGATATGCTGAATCTAACCGTGTAATTAGATTCTTAATTTTTGGTCCCGTTTTCAAATTGGTCTACATTAAGGTCCAAAGGGTCCAAAATTAAACTTAGTTTGATTTTAACAAAAATTGAATTCTTGGGGTTCTTTGATATGCTGAATCTAACCGTGTATGTATTTAGATTTTGGATATTGGACCATAATAGGTAAATTAAAAATTTTTAAGTTCTTAGACAACATTCATTCTGTGTCAGAATGACAGAAACCTATGCTGTGACAAATATTTAATCACAATCCAAATTCAGAGCTGTATCAAGCTTGAATGTTGTATCCATACTTGCCCCAACTGTTCAGGGTTCGACCTCTGCGGTTGTATCAAGCTGCGCCTAGCGGAGCATTTTATTATTATGAAGCATGGAAGCTCTTCATCCAAAATGTGCTTTGGTCAACACTTTTACATCCCCAATAAAATTAAATAAAGCATTAAATTTTAAATGAAAATAGTTCCTTTTCAACTGAATATACTTCTCTAAAAGTATGAAATGTACTTTATTTCAGCAAAAAAAAAAGAAATTCTTTATCGTTTGAACCAAACCCAAACTGTACAGAGCATCTACCTTGCCCCAAAAGAAAGTTTACACAGAGACTTTATATTACATGTATCTCCTTGCAGGTGTAACACTTTTCTAGGTTTTGTTCATTTAATTGTTCAACCTAACCATATAAGGGAGGATAACTCTTAACTTTTATAGTAAAATTTTATACTGTAATGTTAATGAAATTTTCATTTTCTACTTGTAGCAAGAAAACAACTTCGGTGACAGCATTTTTTTTTTTAATATTGTACAACCTATTTTCTCATATTTCATTTCAAAATTCAATTGCATTGATTTCTTTTTATTCACAAAAAAGTTTTTTTTTTTTCATTTTCATGAATAATCTATGCAAAATTGGGCAGTTTTGCACGACTCGTAGCTTGAAAAATAGCACTGTGACCCATACATTTTATTATATTTTTGCAAAAAGCATGGCAAAATCTACATTTTGGCAAAGTATAAAAATTCTATCTGAGGAAATCGATGGTGATTAATTTGTGAGAATACATACCTGTACCAAAGGTAACATACAGGTATTGTACCTGCATGCCACATTGAATGAGCATCAAAAATCCACAATAATGGAGGAAAATCCAGCAGTTCTAATAAAATAAGGAATGTCAAACCAAACATAGCTAGCATACATTTTTGTACATAACGTTTTTTTATTCCTTCTCTGTAAGCATAAAGCATCCATCCAGTAAAGTTTAATGCCCCTGTATTTAAAGAAAAATACTGAATTAAATAAAGACAATAAAAACCTTGTACTGGTTCATATATAGATATATGTGTAAACTATGTTCTCTTTTTTAAAGTAAGATTTTCTAAGACAGAAACTGGTGGATATCAAAGGGCTCCACTTCAGCAATGCAAAGGAGGCTTATTGATTTTTAATATTCTGTGTTGTAATCTGTTTTATTTTTCAATGTCTCTGTTGTTCCTTAACATTTAAAACTTTAACAACAAGAAATAGAGAAATTTACAAATAACAATGAAAATGAATTGATGAAGTCTAAGGATTACACAAAAACATTTTCCCCTTTTTTTAAGCCTTATCACTTGATATAACTAACAACAACAATAAATTTTATCCTGAATTACATAATGGAGTACTAATAGGATCTACTGACTTTCCTGGAGCTATTGGTGTTATGTTGCTTAATAGTCTAGTTTTCTGTATACCGGTAGTGAATTTTTAAACTTTTTAAACATGTTATCTTTCTTCATTTAATGTTTTTTTTATTGCCTGCTTGGTATCCTTTCCCTTTTTTCACAATCAGGATAACTAAGTCTAAATCGTTAACTTTTGACACAGTATCACATAGTTTTGAACAATATTATGTACTATTGATAAGTTTAAATAGCTTTGGAGCATTATTTTAACAAGGAAGGACACTTCAAAACTAGAACTAAAATCATGTCAGATAAATTTTCATAACAAAAAATTCATTTTGGTTCAGAATATCTGTCAATGCATAATTTAAAATAATATTTTATATTTGCATTAATCTATCAAAACCTCTCAACAACTCATTTTTTACTATTGAAATATGATATGTAAAAGTTCCTCAAACACTTCCATAATAGTAGGTGCACAACTTCAACATTTGTGCGATCTTCCTGTGAAGTTTCATGGATTTGGATTGATAATTGTAGGAGGAATTGTTGATTACACAAATTAGGTACCCACTTTTTCCAGCCCCACTGACATCACTATACTATAAGGTGATTTTGGACTTGTCCAACCTGACTAAAAATGAACAATGCTGAGATAAAGACTACACAGATTACCTGCTCACAAGGCAGAGTAAAATTTATACAAAGGAAAGGAACTTTGGAAGTGTGACCACATAATGAAAATATCATAACTGATTTATACTTACCAAAAACGATATTTACTTGCATGTTATATCCATAATCAAAATGAACAAAGGCAAGGTAGTAGATATGGTAAGTGTATAAGGCAATGACTAATGCTGCAAAAATGAGAGGACGGCGCACTGGACTTGTTCCATATAATCTGAAATATATACAAATAAACTGAAGTAGACATGTGCACTGAACTTGTGCTAAATTAACAGAAATTTATCAAAATTAAAAGATAAGGCACTAAACATGTTAAATAATATGACAAATGGACCAAATAATCTGTAATGTCTCATAAGATTGGACAGTAAACATGAAGGTACCCAAACATACATAATGTCAAATCATAAAAATACAAATGGTTTAGTCTCTATGAAAACTTGTAAAATTTCCACTGCTATTTTTGCTAAATGGGTGCAATTTGGGAACTGTGATGTTAGGCTACTTAATAAGTGGATGGGTACACTGAACTTTTTCAAAACTTACTGTTGTACCTTTACACAACTCTCCCAGGTAAAGGGAGGGTTGGCGCCTTCAAACATGTTTAACCCAGCCACATTCTGTATGTGCCTGTCCCAAGTTAGGAGCCTGTAATTCTGTGGTTGTCGTTTGTTGCTGTATAACATATTTGTGTTTTTTTTGGTTCATTGTTTTGTACATAAATCAGGCCATTTAGTATTCTTGTTTGAATTGTTTGAATTGTTTTACATTTGTCATTTCTGTGCCTTTTATTGCTGACTTAGCGGGCATATACATTTATGTGTAGACTCTGTTCTCCTTTTTTTGGTCAGATTTTCTAAGACAGAAACTGGTGGATATCAAAGAGCTCCACTTCAGCAATGCTTATGTATGGGTTTTGCTCATTGTTGAAGGCCATACGGTGACCTTTACTTGTTAACTTCTATGTCATTTGGTATTTGGTGGAGAGTTGTCTCATTGGCAATCATACCACATCTTCTTATTTTTATATCTAATAAAGTTTTATGTAATTCCGCACGGGTAACTATATATAATACATTAACTGACAAAAGATCAGTCCTCTATGACTCGTAGTTCCTCTTAAGCAGGGAAAACAAAAAGCAAACATAAAAACACAATATACAAAACTTTGTTGGAGGAGTGAATATTTTAAGCACTGAATAAGTCAATAGATGTGTTGGAATTCAGTTGAATAATCACAAATGTTTCAAATATCCTAATATGAAAACTACATCTGGAGTTTCATAACAGTCAGTTGAACTTCTGTTAATATAAGAAGACAGTTTCATTTATAGTACTTTAAAAACATTACAATTAAAATAAAATAACAAGATGAACTGTAAGCTAATGCTAACTAATTAAAATCTCTTGCTCAATTTTGTTGACTTCATGTGATTAAAATTTCTTACTATGTGCATGACATCTTAGAGATACAAAGTTTGGCAAACAGGAAGCAGAATCTGAAGGAGGATAAAAGAGTCACAGAGGCCATCATAGCTACCAAAATGGATAAAATATTAAAAATGCAAAAGGGGGATAACTCTGAATAAAATTCAAATGACAGAAATCATTCTACATATTAGAATCTGACATCCATGAATATACTTCTATGCCAAGTAGGCATGCATTAAGGAGTTAGACTAAAGACTGGTCGGCTCGAAGTCAGAATAATGTGTTCAGGTAAGGTGACATGTCTACCTGCAGACTGTTCATGAACTTGCACGTTAAAAATCAATCTCAACTTGTAACATTTATATGTTCTTGCCCTGAATATGTATTAAATATGCAGCTAGACATTAAATAAACATCCGTCATCATCATCATCTTCATCCATAAATATACAACCAACTAGATAAAGTGGAGTTGTAAAAATAAAGTAGCTAAAATGGATGAAAATTTACAGTTTTCAAGGACATAACCCTAAAAAATCTTCATAAACTGGAACAACCTTATCACATTTGCAAACTTTGACCTGAGATGAATACAGCCAATTAGTGTTATAAAATTGTATGTGCTTCAGTACAATTTTGTTATATATACCATAAAAATTCAGAAATTCTGAGAAAATCTGGCAGATAATATAAAAGAGTCATAAAAGGTTGCTGTTTACAAATCTACTCCAGAAAGATGAAGGTATTCATCTGAATGGCAACAATACTCACCTACATAATACAACATAACAGTTACTGAGTACTACAGAAAACGCACAGAAATAATCCATTTTCTATAATTAACAAAAATTCATTATTCATTTTATATTACATAAAACTTCACCTCATATCATGCAATAATACATAAATTGACCTTACCATGCTCTCTCTGCTTATTTCTTTTAATTTACTTTCTAAATTATGCAAAGTTACACCCAGAATAGCATCCCATAAAGTGCAGAAAAAGATCAGAAATTAAACAAGCAGCACTAGAAAATCCTCAGCATTGAGACAGCTGTCTATAATATAATAAAGACCAGTGTTCTTAACACTATTCATTTGATGTTTCTATAGATGCATATATAAGTAATAGTATGTGGAATTATTTAATTTGATTTTGGAGGCAATTAATATAAAAAGAACCAAATTGATTTGGTCAAGAGATAAGTTTGAACTGAAATTATAAAAATATGATAAAGCAAATACCTCTGTAAAATCTGTATCTTTTGTATGAAAAACTGTAGACCAAAACCAAGCATTAAATGCTACCTGAAAAAGACAAAATAACTGTAGACCAAAACCAAGCATTAAATGCTACCTGAAAAAAGACAAAAACTGTAGACCTAAACCAAGCATTAAATGCTACCTAAAAAGACAAAAACTGTAGACCCAAACCAAGCATTAAATGCTACCTAAAAAGACAAAAACTGTAGACCCAAACCAAGCATTAAATGCTACCTTTAAAGACAAAAAACTGTAGACTCAAACACCGCATTAATAATACTTGAAAAAGACAAAAACTGTAGACCAAAATCAAGTATTAAATGATACCTGAAAAAGACAACAAGAGTGCACACGCTGAAATGTCTCGCCTTCTTTACTAATCATTGATATTATGTTGATAGTCCTAAATATAAAGCTTTATTACAACTGCCACATAAACTTAACATTAACCAAGTAAACTAAACATTGACCAATGAACCATGAAAATGAGGTCAAGGTCAGATAAACCATGCTAGGCAGGCATGTACAGCTAACAAATCTTCCATACAACAAATATAGTTGACCTATTGCTTATAGTTTAAGAAAAACAGACCAAAACACAAAAACTTAACACTGAGCAATGAACCTTGAAAATGAGGTCAAGGTCAAATAAAACCTGCGTGACTGACATATAGATCATAAAATATTTCCATACACCAAATATAGTTGAACTATTGCATATATAGTATTAGAAAAAAAGACCAAAACTCAAAAACTTAACTTTGACCACTGAACCATGAAAATGAGGTCAAGGTCAGATGACACCTGCCAGCTAGACATGTACACTTTACAATCATTCCATACACCAAATATAGTAGACCTATTGCATACAGTATAAGAAAAACAGACCAAAACACAAAAACTTAACTATAACCACTGAACCATGAAAATGAGGTCAAGGTCAGATGACACCTGCCAGTTGGACATGTACACCTTACAATCATTCCATACACCAAATATAGTAGACCTATTGCATACAGTATAAGAAAAACAGACCAAAACACAAAAACTTAACTATAACCACTGAACCATGAAAATGAGGTCAAGGTCAGATGACACCTAGCAGTTGGACATGTACACCTTAAAGTCCTTCCATACACAGAATATACTAAACCTATTGCTTATAGTATCTGAGATATGGACTTGACCACCAAAAACTTAACCTTGTTCACTGATCCATGAAATGAGGTCGAGGTCAAGTGAAAACTGTCTGACGGGCATGAGGACCTTGCAAGGTACGCACATACCAAATATAGTTATCCTATTACTTATAATAAGAGAGAATTTAACATTACAAAAAATCTTAACTTTTTTTTCAAGTAGTCACTGAACCATGAAAATGAGGTCAAGGACATTGGACATATGACAGACGAAAACTTCATAACATAAGGCATCTATATACAAAGTATGAAGCATCCAGGTCTTCCACCTTGGAAAATATAAAGCTTTTAGAAGTTAGCTAACGCTGCCGCCGCTGCCAGATCACTATCCCCATGTCCAGCTTTCTGCGACAAAAGTCGCAGGCTCGACAAAAACCAAGACTACCTGAAAAAGACAAAAAACTGTAGACACACCAAGCACTTAAATGTCTGGTTTAAATTGTATTACATTTTGTCATGCCTTTATAGCTTACTATACAGTATTGGTTTTGCTCATTGTTTAAAGCTGTACTGTGACCTATACCTCTGATATTTGGAAAGTTTTCTCATACTACATCTTCTTCTTTTTTCTCGATAGGACAACAAACCTAACCCATCATAGAAATGTTTTGTAGGGAATAATCAAAATAAACTTGTGTTAACCTCACACATTTGAAACAGTTCCTTTCTTAGACGAACTGTTACTATGTAACCTCACACATTTGAAACAGTTCCTTTCTTAGACGAACTGTTACTATGTAACCTCACACATTTGAAACAGTTACTTTCTTAGACGAACTGTTACTATGTAACCTCGCACATTTGAAACAGTTCCTTTCTTAGACAAACTGTTACTATGTAACCTCACACATGTGAAAATGTTCCTTTCTTAGACAAACTGTTACTATGTAACCTCACACATGTGAAAATGTTCCTTCCTTAGACGAACTGTTACTATGTAACATCACAAGTCAAAACTGTAAAACATTTTCACTTGGAGCTGGTCTTAGTCTTTGAGATCATGCAATAAAATTTATCAAAGAATATTTTAGAATATTTAAGAAATAATTCATGACAGCCATGGTACATAAGAGATATTAACACTGGTTACATTGTCTATAGATGTCAAATTGACCTGGTTAATTTCTTTTTTTTATTTAATTATGAGATGTTTTCCATCTTGCAGAGTAAGACCATTACACTGTACACACCTATAACTAGAACTTTTGTGGATTGACCATAATATATTTATTTTACTTACTAAGGCATAGAGATGCCAGATATAATATAAAGGAACTTTGGGAGATACTTGTTTTCTGTAGGACAGGATACGCAGGTGGGCTAGTCCATTAAGTACAGAGAACAACACTGACGCTGGCTCCTGTATCCCAAACAGTCGTACAAATGGCCACTGAAAAAGAAATCAAATAAAAACTAAAGCAATTCATGCATTAATTTTTATGTATAGATATACCAGACAATATAAGGAACAGAGCATGCACAATTGTGCAGGTATACCGTATGGTGTAAAAGATACAATTACTCACAATGTAAAAAGAAATGTTTAGGGTTTTATATCCATGATGTTTCCTTTTCCCTTTACTGTAATCATGATATACGGTACTGATCTACTGTGGATTCATTTATTTCTGTAGATTTAAGATAAGATGTATTATCATGGATATTTGATTTCATGGTTTTGCCAAAAGTCTGTTTACTTTCCAATAGAAAACTTGTACTTTAGCATGTTTAGTGAACATTTAAATTTGTTGTAGAAGGTCCAGTAACAACAACACTTTAAGGAATGCTCCAGTAATTTATTGAGATCGACATGTTTCGGTGGCTAGGCTACCGTCATCAGGATAGAAAACAATACATAAAATCATGCTGAGGTACAAAATCGGGTTGAGAAAATTAAAACGTCACAATGTTGCTATGGTGATATGTTTTTATCTAACAACCCTGCATACCCGAGGTATCCACTTTATGGAATCTACTGACAGAAGATTTACCAGGTGTTGGTTCACTTGTGTTTAAATTCAAATTTGTTGTTAACCTTTACCTTCAAAATCCACAAAAATTGGTATCTAACAAATAATAATGAATACACAGTACTCAAACATCTGCTTTATACACCTATATGTCAATGTATGCATTTTCTTTTCCAGAATTGACTTAAGCATATGATTTAATGTGTACATTAACAATCGTCAGAAAATAATGATATCAAACATTTTATTTGAAACTGTAATACACAATATCCATCCTTCTGCATAAATAAATATACCTCTATACTCAAAGAACTGTCATTCACTGAATTTCACTCGGCATATTTTTCTTAAACCATTCGGATACTAACTTTGCTAATGATTTGTTATACATCCAATCATCATAATCACCGAGACAATTACATGTAGATGTGCAATAATCACCCAGGCATCTACATGCAATAATGACCTAGACATCTACATGCAATAATCACCGAGGCATCTACATGTCAACGTGCAATAATCACCCAGGCATCTACATGCAATAATGACCTAGACATCTACATGCAATAATGACCTAGACATCTACATGCAATAATCACCACAGCATCTACATGTCAACATGCAATAATCACCACAAAATCTACATGTCAACATGCAATAATCACCCAGACATCTACATTTAAACATGCAATAATCACCCAGACATCTACATGTCTACATACAGTAACCACCAAGACATCTACATGTCTACATACAATAATCACAATGACATCTACATGTCCAAATGCAACAATCACCAAGACATCTACACATCTCCATTCAATAATCACCAAAACATCTACATTTCAAAATACAATAATCACCACAACATCTACACATCCACATACAGCAATGCAATCATGAAGACATCTACATATCTCCATGCAATAGTCATCCAGACATCTACACATCTACATACAATAATCACCAGGACATCTACTTGCTACAATCACCAACACATCTACATTTTAACATATAATAATCACCCATACATCTACATGTCTACATGCTATAATCACCAAGACATCTACAAGTTTAAATGCAATAATCACAGAACTTCTATACATTGGGTCAATTCTTTTGAAGTCTTTCAGATACTGACTTTCCCTTAAAAAAGTGGAACATTCAGTCCATCCTTTTGAACTGATTCAGATACTTACTTTCCCATGGAACTGTGGAACACTCAGCCCATCCTTGTGAAAGGCATCTACAGTTTTCCACATACACTGGTATCTACATTCATCTTTACATGACCACTGTAACACTGTAAGATACCATGGCTGAGCAGACAAGAACTTTGATTGGCTGGTACAGTTTTTATTGCCACAGTTACTAACACATTTCATGAATATGTATGATCTGTCACCATATGAACCTGCAGTTACCTTGACACACAAAAGAATTAGAAAACACAGCAAAAGTTGTGATGCACTAATGTAACTTATTGATGAAAAGATTTTGTGTGTTAGTCTTTGAATTCCCATGATGCTTTTATCTGTAATCATTTAGACAGAATGTGTTGTTCTTTCTTTCATTTCTTGTTCCATTGGTAAATTTAATCTTCCCAAATCTGTAAAATAAGTTTAAATATTGAATCTTACTGATATTGTAACCATGGTAACCAGTTGAATATCTTTCAAAACAGGCTATTGATTACTAAAACAAAACAATTATTTGTCATTCATCTATTATTATCAAGTAAGAGCACAGCATCAAAGCATAAATTACCTTTCAAAACAATTTTACTTTTCATGCTTTTGGTGAACTTGTGCAGCTGTATAAATGATATATCAACATGCACGGAATATGTTTTTGTTAGAGATGATATAACGTTTATTTTCAATACTGAATAGAAAAATTAACTACAGCAGTCTCCAAACTGGTCTAAAATAGAGGACACCTGCCTAAAAACATTGAAGCTGTAGCCTTCTGTTCTTTCACTCTAATAAAATTGTTCCTCTTCCAAGTGCTATAAAATAAGTATCCGAATTACAATGTCAGTCATAAATTAATATCATAACTACAATGTCAGTCAAATAAGTATCATAACTACAATGTCAGTCAAATAAGTATCATAACTACAATGTCAGTCAAATAAGTATCATAACTACAATGTCAGTCAAATAAGTATCATAACTACAATGTCAGTCAAATAAGTATCATATATAACTACAATGTCAGTCAAATAAATATCATAATTACAATGTCAGTCAAATAAGTATAAATATCATAACTACAATGTCAGTCAAATAAGTATCATAACTACAATGTCAGTCAAATAAATATCATAACTACAATGTCAGTCAAATAAATATCATAATTACAATGTCAAGCAAATCAATATCAGAATTACATTCAATTTAATGGCTTCCTGCATTTCTTTGACAATGAGCCATACCATCAAAGAAGTATGATACAAAACATGCCAAAAGTTTGATTATATGCAATAGTTACACCTTATATAATTATCTTGATTTTGATTGGTTAAAATCTAATACATAATTCATTTATTTTCTTTAATGAGACGACAAACTTTGTTCCTAGTTCGCCATTGCTAGGGTATATGCACAAGAATCAACTTTTTTTTACTGTCTCTGCTGTGGTGTTTTCCAGGGGTGGTTCCAGGATTTTAGGTTAGGGGGGCACAAACTTAAATTTTTGCCGAGCGGAGAGAGGCGAAAATATTTTGAGGTAATATTATCAAAATATTCTTTATTAAGCTTAGGACAACCCATGCTTTGCAAATTTTAGGGGGGGCACACAAATGCCACGCCCCCGCCTGAATCTGCCCCTGTTTTCCAAAATGTATATATACTTTTTTACCCATCAAGGAGACCCTTGATCATGTGTGCACTTTATCAAATGCGGCTGTATTTGCTAACGTCTAGAGGCGAAGAATAATGTATTAAATTTGGAAAATTTAACTGAACAATCTCCATTGATTTTCAGTGTTATTTATTCAATATATTATATTCAGGAGAGGTATCTGCAAATATAATAGCATTGAAAAGAAATTTCATTGGCCTGGCCACTCATAAAATTTAACCTTCTCTCAACTGATATTAACAATTTTTTGCAAATACCCTTCAGCATCATGAATGCTATATCTACTTAATAAGTTGAAAATACAAACATGACAATTAAGTCTATTTATTTTCCATTTGAACCCTGAAAACAGAATTTTAAAAAGAGTAAGCTTTGCAAATCAGAAACAGATGATTATGGAAATTTTATCCGACAATGACTGAAGAACTGACTCACAATATACATGAACATGTACATGTACATACAATATTTACAGAATCTAGTGTGAAACAAACTGTGCATATAATTAGGTGTTTTATATAAAAACTGTACTTTTATTTGGAAAATATATATATTATCCACATTGATAACAAAACTTTAATTATCAGGTGAATTAGAAATACAGGTAAAGAAGTTTAATCAGTAACTTGTCATTTGTTAAATACATGTCTTAGGTCCGAGTACACAGTTATTTCGTAGTGCATTTCTTTTAGACAATAAATGAAAATTAAAAAAATCCCACCTGCGCTTTCTCAATAATATTTTCACAGTGTGTTGTACTACTTTTGGGACAAATTATATCAAAATTATAGAAAACTTCATCGGCTCTAACTCAAAATATGGACAATTTTATGTTAAGGGGGTCTTGAAATCTTTTGACAGCTTCCGAAGTGCTAATTTTTAACCTTTTTCAGCTGGACCAAATCACTACTTTACTTTAAAATTCATGACCCAAGTTTTTTTACAGTGTAATTTCATCCCCCTTCTTGCTATTTGAGGCATAAAACAAGGAGAAATAAATTTGGAAGGGGTATAAAAAAACTGGCAAGTAACACACTGTCCACACTAGGGACTATACTTGTGGACAACGAAAATCAAAGGACGATAACTGTGTACTCGGACCATTTGATATAAGAATTGGGACAGATAATAATAGATGTAAGATAAATTAATGTATAAATACATGTTATTTACATTTTGATTCAACAGAGGTGTGTTGTTAAAGTGTCTTTATTTGTGTAGATAAAAAATATTGTATGTTGTATAAAATACCTTTGGTTAGTCAACTGTTAGATAAAAAAAACATAATAATAAAAGCAGATTAACCAACCCAAGGTATTTGTATAGTAAATCCTTGAAACACCTAATGTTTTCCCAAGGCAGGAACCTCATAAGTGGTCATAGCTTAGTGTGGTTTTCTTCTTCTCTTTTTAATGAATCAGAATTTGTGTGGATGGCTGTGGATTAATTTATATACTACATTTTTAGACATGGGAGTTAAGAGCTACACATATCAGCATATCTCCTACTTACTTTTTTGTAAAGACACTCATCAATCTCGTTATAGACTAAAGCCTACAGTATGTTGACCTCTACTCTAAATGTAATTTTAATTTTAGTGTTATTGGGTTGCAAATACAAAACATAATTTAAATACATGCATATATTTAAGCTCTATTGATCGAACCCTTTAGCAACCAACAGGTACTATAGTATATTGGTTTATATCTTTACCTTACTTGTTCGTTGGTTTTATTTATATTGAAATACCCGGCAACTTACAGTGGAACGTGTCAACTGTCATATTGAAAAAAATCCAATCATTTTCTTGTTTAAGTAACTTGCCGGCTTTTTGACTTTCCTCTCTTTTTTCCTTGAGTTATCTCAGCATACAAATAGCGACTGGTTGGTTTTTGATCGTTATTTCTCCTTTGCTCATCGTTAAAACACGGGCTTCAATCGTCAGTTTAAAGGGACATAAAAGTATACATTGCTGAGGCACAACGAGGTTTATTATGAAACGAGATACCAAGCTGAATTATATGATTTTTTTCTAATTAATGAAGTCTTTTTTTTTGTAAAGTCAAGTAGTATTATTTATTTGCATGCTGCATGCCTTGTTTTATTTGTTATTGCATATGTTTTTAGATTCGGTGAAAAGCTCATTAGAGCTCATGTTTGTATGTTTGTCAATATGCCGAATCAAAATAAAGTTTTACTTACTTAACCGAAAGATATTAGTTTGACCGAATACCTGATAGATTAACAGTACATTTTGCTTAGGAAATTGTGCTTAAGGATGTACTTAGCTCAGGTTTAGGAATTTGTGACATATTCTCCATTTCCATTCTCAATTTTACTATATATTGTGGGACCCTCCATTTTTTAACAGTAATGTTGGGACCCCTAAAGTAAAGGAAGGCCGATGTTCGGACTCCTTGGTTTTTTTACTACGATACTGTGTAAAATATTTTGCCCCAAAACACCCATTTTTCTTTTCATATAAGACTTAAATAGCTCATAAAAGGTCATTTACCAAAATTTAAGCAGATTAGATTTCATTTCTTTCGATTTGAGACCAAAATAATAACAATGCAAAAAAAAAAGGTAAAGTCCGAGTCAGCCTTTTCCCGCCATTTAAAAAAAAATCAAATATCTCGAAAAGGAGCTCCATAACCTATCAATATTTAGCTTATTTTGTTCCTAAACTAATGCTCTTCTGATCTATGATATCAATTTTAAATTCTAGATTTTCACCTAAATACATCCTTAAATTAATGGTCCAGAAGCCACCAAATCTAAATATTGATCAAGCTAATAAATGTTAATAGTGGACCTAGATTACTATAGCACATGTATTACAGTAATCTCAGGTATAGACAACAAAATCATTCAAACTGTGAATAAGCAAAAGGTATTGGGAATTACAACTGATCACCGCCGGCCTTACTTGGAAAGAGCAAATTAATCGATTTCTAAAAACCATTAGCTCAAGGTTATTTATTTTTAGACAAAATCAAGAAATACTTAGACTACAAAAGTAAATTTTAGTTATAATTCTTATATTCTACCAACGATTAAATAAAACTAAAAAAGGATCAGTAAGAATAATGTTAGATGCCCTTTCTTTACACCATCGAGAGAACTTTTTGACAGATTAAATTTGATAAGTTTCCGAAACTGAATTTCACATGACAAACGATTATAGAATATAAAATTTTACACAATAAATTTATGAAAGATTTTTTTTTCTCAAAAACTGAACAATTTGGTTGTTGTACGGACTGGGAACAGTAGATATGTTCATGGTACGAACAAGCACGAATATAATGAAAAAATCTTTTGTTCACAATTCTGCAATTCTATGGAACAGCTTATCAAAGAAGATAAACACATCTTCATCTTTATGTTTTTTTTCTTCAAATATCTCCGTCAAGCCATGTGGACATTAATTACCATGAACACTATGCTTGATAATCTTCGGTTTATTTGTCCTTTGAAAATTAGCCATTTAGACCTTGGGCATGACATCTATCTATTTGTAGTAAACAACCTGAACATTGGTACTTGGATATTTATAAATATGTGTTAGTATATTTAAGCCCAGGTTAGATATATATAAGCTAAACAGATTCAGTATACATGGTTTATATATAGGACTAAAGTGCATCAGAAAAAAAAGAACGGACAAGAAAATTAGACAGAACTAATCTGCTGCCTTTAATTTACGCACATTAAACCATTTTTAATTGATTGATTTTGATTGGTGTTTAACCCCACTTTCAGTGGCGGATCCAGAACCTTTTGTAAGGGGGGGGGGGGGGGGGGCACTGACTTACCTAAGCGGGGGCCCGCTCCAGTCACGCTTCAGTGATTCCCTATATAATCAACCAATTTTTTCCCACATAAGGGGGGCCGGGCCCCCAGGGCCCCCCAGGATCCGCCTATGACTTTCAATACTATTGTTCAATTTCATGGCGGTCAGTTTTTTTATTGGTGGAGGAAGCCGGAGTGCCCGGATAGAACCACCGACCTTCGGTAGGAAAACTGACTATCCTAGTCAATTAAGATTGGAGTCGAGTGCACCTGCCCAGTGCGGGATTCGAACTCATAACCTCAGTGTTGACAGGCTAGTGATACAGTAGTTCGACTACTTAGACCACTCGGCCACCGAGGCACCAAACCATTTTTAACTAGAGACATTTAATACACATGTATGATATGTATAAAATAAGGTGATGTGGTATGATTGCCAACGAAACAAGTCCAAATTCATTTGAAGAAGGTTTAAGCAACTGAGTGTCACTGTCTCTGTTTGAACCGTTTCAATTCTAAACTTAAATATTTAATCCTATCTTAAACTTACAAAATGTTAAACTCAGTAGAAAATATTATTTTAAAAAAGTAAAAACATTTTTCTAAAGTAGAACTTTGCAATTTTATTTATTTCTGATTCTTTCTTTATTTTCTTCAAATCAGAACATCTCTTTGTGGACTGTTTCTTATACTTACTAAACAAAGTCGCCTATTTTCTTCTACTGTTTCACCTAAAACGGAATACATTGGTACAATAAGTGATCATAAGTCATAAATATGAATCGAGATGAACTGGTGAAAAAGAGAAAGGAGTGCATGTGAGGTATTAAGCCACTGTATAAAGGAGTATATAACTGGCACAATAAAGCAATGGATCTATAAATTTAAAAAGTTAAAGTTAAGCTCACTTGGTAGAGTATTCCTTTACTGTGCCATGGTAAAAACATGAAATATGAAATATCAGAACTTAAGGTCTGTCGATGTTTACTGTTATTTGATAATCACTGTCTTTCTGGACGATAAAATGCACCATTTTACTACAATCGACAAAATCCCCTTAAGTGCCTAATTTTATTACTTTGATTACTCCCTCTAAAATTATTTTAAATCTTGACGCAAAAGTATTGTAAAAATGTTTGGGATGATAATTGAAACATTTTCAATATTGGAATGTCTCGGTTCTCCTTTTATATAAAGCTATGATTTGTACATCATGGTTTAATATGATGCGCAAAAATACGATGTGCGAACGTTAAAAATGTGAACATGGTGAAATGAAAAACACAAAGGATAGGCCTAAGGGAAATATTTTTGTGTTAGATTAGACTTCTTCTAGATATCCATTTACATCATCTATAATTTAGGCGGGTCAACGACATACATAATAGGTGAACTAGTGTTAATTTTACCCTTAAAGAATATGGAATACACAATAGATTTGCAGTACACAGTGTGGCGTCTGAGCAATACACAAATCAATACTAAGATTGTTTGTTGATGGATTTATAAGTAAGATGTAAGTATATTAAATACCATGTTTATTACGTGTATGTAAACAGAAATTTATATATATGCTGTGTTTGTGTTTCAGATTTACTTGAAAATCTTTATGGACAGATTGACAAATGCACAAAATCTGTGACCGTGGGAGACCATACTTGGCAAGGGCCCGTGGAATTGGGGGGAGGGCTTTTAAACATGAAAGGAAAAAATAAAATAGAATAACAACAGCGGAATTAAAGGTTTATTACAGTGGGCATATGTCAGTTTTATATAAGTATCATTGATTTCACCTCTTCTCTTTTTGCTATCAAAACATTTAAAGAATCTGACAGTATTGCACTATGCGACCACTTAATTACAAGCTTGGTCATACATGTCATAAGTAATGCATTGCTGTCCCGTACCAATAGATAGGGTAGAAAGAATTCCACTTTTTGTAGATTCTTGAAATGCGTAAATTGAGAGCAAATTAGTTGAGACTATTCGACGGAACTATACACACTGGTTCACGTTTTATTCAATTCTTGATAAAAATAATAATCTACTAAAATTTTCTTCATTTGCTATGGTAACAGTTTTATGTAGTCAATTGAATTCTGAGAATATGGCAACGTTGACACCTAGTTCAAATATGCTGCTTATCAGGAAACCCAAACTAATGCGACATCCAAGGAATGTTGACAGACTATGACTTTTTAAAAGTCCCGTTAATGTCGGTTTAATTATATTAGATATCGTTCAGTATATATAGGACATACATTCTATGGTCCGATTGACATACTGAAGGGTCTGCGATCATTTGTAGAGATCTTATTTTATGTTAAGTATCAATAAAACCATCACATGTGTGTCCAACTATTCAATAAGACATTATTTAGATGCTTTATCATGTTTATTACGATATTCAAAATGACGAAATTTAAATCCGTATATAAAGGTATTGATAGATTTTGTACGTGTGCATTAACAATTATACGAATTTTGTTATTAAATAGATTTACCTGGTTGACTAATACTTAAATGAAACCTAAGGCATGTGTATAAATTTGTATCCAGTTATATAACAAAACAGTAATTAATGGAAGATATAAACTTCTTTTCGTGGTAAATATCTGTCCCTCTAAGTTTATGCCAAAGGACACGACGTCTGACACTGTTTAATTAATGTATATAGCTGTTAATTTCTAAATTTATTAGACAAATCAATTGACATTCGAACAATATGGGCTGCTCTTCTAAATTTATGGTTCCCGTGTAATGATACTCCCTTATTTTCGAAGAGTGATTGGGGTGTCCGTCTGTTCGTTCCCGTATACTGATACTCCCTTATTTTTGAAGAGTGATTTGGGTGTCCGTCTGTTCGTTCCCGTATAATGATACTCCCTTATTTTTGTAGAGTGATTTGGTTGTCCGTCTGTTCGTTCCCGTTTGTATCCGCTACTGCTTCTGAAACAATTGACAGCATTTGATGAAACTTTCACAGAACCTTACTCACATGGTGTATGTTTGCACCTGCCATTTCATTTCTTCATCGCGTTGGGATTTACTTTAGCAAGACATGGACTTTGTCCTATTCGCTTCTCTTAAACCCCTAATTATAATTTACAGAAACTTTCTCATAACCTTCATCATGTAATATCGTAACGTTCCATACCTCCTATTTTGTTGCTTGGTCCAAATTTTAGGGATTTTACATAGCAAATCATAGACCTGCATCATTTTGTTAGCTTTTCAGTGCTTCTAAATTTTAGGCTAAATTCCAAATTTGCTCTATATTTGTCTCTAGTTAATCATATGTACTACATCTACACATTTTTTACTTTAAAATATGACGCGTTGACTGCTGATATACAAATAAATCTGAAAATATATAATCATGATCATACTATAGTTCAATTTTTATACGTGTGCATGCAAAACAAATTTCTTGGAAGAGGGGTCTAAATACAGCACAAACAACATTTTCCAAAAGACCAAATAAGTGAAAAAGTATATTTTAACAAAACGCATTTGACTAGCAGGTCGAACAACTGATGTTCTTAAACCCTGCTGACTGCCATTGGCGATTGCCAAATAAACGGATCACAAGGTGTAACAAAATAGATCTTATTATTAATTTATTACCAAACAGAAAACAATAATATCCGGATTTCGACAATTAATGTCTCTTCAGTGATGTTAGGAATCGAAACGGTATTTGGAAGGCCATATAATTTACCTCAATTTAGGATAGACTCTTGAATTTTGAAAGAGTCAAAATAGGATGAACGGATCATATAAACCCGAAGGCAAATATAATACAAGCCTAAACGAAAAAATATAAACAAGTCTAAATTGAAAACAACGCTCAAACCTATGATTGCGTTGGATAAAACATATATATATATATATATATATCGGCATGATAAACGAGATTTCTATATAAACATGATAAACGAGTCATATATTTTTTCAGAAACGAAAATGATGGAAGAAGAAAAGATAGAACGACTGAGAGAAAGAATTCTCCAGTGTCCAATTTGTATGGACGAATACAACGACCCAAGGATCCTACCATGTCATCATTCTGTTTGTTTTCAGTGTCTGCAAGATTTTGTTCGACACTCTTCATCTTCTGGTCGACTGTTCAGGTGTCCACAATGCCGTTCAGATATATGTGTTCCTAGAGGAGGAATCAAAGATTTCCCGCCAAACTTTTATGTCAACTGTATTCAGGATGAAATTGGTTCTAAACCGTACTTTAGCACGTGTAACGTCTGTGAACGTGATTGGTTGGTATCTCAGTATAGATGTGTTGATTGTGATATCGATATATGTAAATTCTGTATCCACGAACACAAACTTTTCAAACACGATCCTTCCAAAACTCTCAATATCATGCGTATTGAAACTGGAAACATGGGCACGGGCATGTCTTCTCAAAAACAGTGCACTGAACATTCAGAACATATTCTGAGTATGTTTTGCTCTACTTGCAACACTGCTGTCTGCATAGATTGTATCCTACAGTCACACAAATCACATGATACATGTACTTTGGGTAAAAAACTAGAACAAGCAAGAGAGTTCCTACAAAAAGAAATGGATTCTCTGAACACGTCCGTTCGATCAGTGAAAAAGACAGTTGAGGAGTTGGAAAAGTTGTCGACAGACATAAAAGAAAACACCACACACTGCATCAAGGACGTTCGGAAACAAGCACGTGACTTAACTAATACAATAGACCAAATCGCTGAACAACAAGTGAAAGTCATGACAACAATTGAACTAGAGAGTTTAACGCCGATTAACAACTATAAGAAATGTTTGAATGATTTTACGGACAAAGCTCAGTCTGTTTGTCGGTTTTTGGAGGATCTACAGGAAGACGATATGAGTTTGGAACTACTTGAATGTTATGCTCAGTATAAGAAAAATGTAGATGCTATACGAGAATCGATTCATAATAAGAATATCTCTGTAAAAAAGTTTACTTTCAAACCTGGTAAATTCTATTCCTGGGAGGATATTAATGTTTTCAGATTCGGAAGAATAAAAACGGAACCAACAGATAAACTTTTCTTGCATGTGCCATCGAAACCGAAAAGAACAATTCGAGGCACATTGAAGTCCATATTTTCTATACAAAACATTATTCTAGTCTTAGTGCCAATGTTTATGTTGATAACAATAAGTAGAATATGTGCTTTAATGTCAGACGAAACGGACAAATTTCCTGACGCAATCTGTGGCTTATTTTTATTTCTTTATATATCACTTTCTGCTGCTGTTTCTTATGTAAAAGGGTGAAAGACGTCATCAAACTGGTGCAAGAAATCTATTATCTTTGAGGTTCTCTAATAAGGTTTACAACGCCAGTATTTAAACCAAAAAGTGTTCAGTTATAAGTGCTAACTCCATATTACATATTTTTATTTACTTGTAAAATGTATTTATATTTTAAAGTATATGCCTTGTTGAAAGGACATTTGCTATCTTCTCGCAATTAAGTTTTGGTACGATACAGTAACGAATTCGTTTCACAACCAATAGTTTCCACACGGAAAATTGTCTGAAACGGTTTTTGCTACTCATTTTATGCCAGTTTGGGATTTACAAATCTGTGGGTTTTAAAACTTTCGTCCCCGAGCTGGTTTATATCCACAAAAGGGTCTCTAGCATAGCTATATTAGACATGGCTGACTTTGATTTATATAGAAGCAGTTTTGTATTTATTCAAAGCTTAAAGGTCCTATCGGGCTTGGTTACTTATCTTTTCTCAATTAAACAAGTTCGTGTATAGAAAAATATATTTTATTTTACATTCTAAGACGCAAGATAGACTACGCAGATTGTTATGTCTAAAATAGTACAAAATGTAGTTAAATTTGTGGGCATTTTTCATATATCGGGCTTTCATGTTAAATTCTCGTGTTTGAAAGGCATTTTAAAGATATGCAATATATATATATATATATATATATATATATATTGAAATATATGTGTCTTGACTTTTTAATCTTTTATGATTACGCTGGTGCAGTCTAAATATCCCATATTATTTTTCAAGGTCATACCCAGAAGACAGATGTCACAAATATGCCCTGTTAGAGAGCAAAGTGAAACTATAGGCAAAACTTAAGAGAGCCTCACCTTTCGTCCAATATTTTCAGTAGATTCTGATAATTTTCGTTTTTTACATACATGTGCAACTGTGTTTGCTATTTATTTTTTTGCAGAAATAAAATTGAACGAATTCATTTAATGCATAATATACTTTACGTACATCATCTGCAAGAATTGAGAGTCTATCGAGATACAAGAATAACTCGTCGACGATATTGTAGAAGGGCTTGGGTTTGATCATCACTCCGTTTGAACTAAAAATTTGTAAGGGTTCCGCGGAACCCAGTGTCTCGCCTACTTTTGCTGTTAGTCGCAGGCTCAACAAAAATGGGGAACAAATTATTAAAAATTTTCCTCTACATACTATCTTTTAATTGTGACAAGTTCTGTTCAAGTTTAGTAAAAATCCAAGAAGGTTTATGAATCTAATAAATGTTTTAAAAACTTTAACTGCAGACTGTACGTAATGTTAACTGGAATAAAACTAAGTCCATTTATAAGTAATATACGGAAAAACAGGAAATAAATTTTTACAAAATTTCCTTCTAGATACTAGCTTTTGATCATAAACAAGCTTCTGTCCAATTGTGGTACAAATCCAGGATAGTTTAAGAAAGTTATTAAAATTCGAAAAACTGTAACCTCAGAGTGAATGTTATGTTAACTGGCAGAAAAACTAAGTCCATTTATGAGTAAAATACGTTTACAAAATTTACATCTGGATACTATCTAATGATCATAAACAAGCTTCTGTCCAAGTTTGGTACACATCTAGGATAGTTTAAGAAAGTTATTAAAATTTGAAAAACTTTAACCTCAGAGTGAATGTTATGTTAACTGGCAGAAAAACTAAGTCCATTTATGAGTAAAATACGTTTACAAAATTTACTTCTGGATACTATCTTATGGTCATAAACAAGCTTCTGTCCAAGTTTGGTACACATCTAGGATAGTTTAAGAAAGTTATTAAAATTTGAAAAACTTTAACCACAGAGTGAATGTAATGTTAACTGGCAGAAAAACTAAGTTAATTTATGAGTAAAATACGGATAAACAGGATTTTTTTTTACAAAATTTACTTCTGGATACTATCTTATGATCATAAACAAGCTTCTGTCCAAGTTTGGTTGAAATGCAGGATAGTTTAAGAAAGTTATTAAAATTTGAAAAACTTTAACCACAGAGTGAATGTAATGTTAACTGGCAGAAAATCTAAGTTAATTTATGAGTAAAATACGGATAAACAGGATTTTTTTTTACAAAATTTACTTCTGGATACTATCTTATGATCATAAACAAGCTTCTGTCCAAGTTTGGTTGAAATGCAGGATAGTCTAAGAAAGTTATTAAAATTTGAAAAACTTTAACCACAGAGTGAATATTTGTGGACGCCCCGCCGACGACGACGCCGACGGAATGTAGGATCGCTATGTCTCGCTTTTGCGACAAAAGTCACAGGCTCGACAAAAATGTATGCACACCTCACATCGTTATCCTCATCCTTATATAAACGAGCACACGAGTTAAGATAGATCTGAATTTTTATCAGCTTATTTAGTCCAATGCAGAGTTCATGCTCTTTTCTAATTAACATGTTGTTATCCACATTGTAGTCGCTGCCTATTAAAGCAATAAGCTATATTTTTATAAGCATGGCTTTTACATGAATATAAATCAAATATGGAGGTATTATACTTCTATGAAATAAAGACGTGTTCATTTTATGCTCATTTTGAACAATTTGCGTATAAAAATTCAATAAATCTATTCTATATATCATGTTCACACGACCGATCGCCAAAACAGCAAGTTAGGACTAATCCGGACTATCATTGCTTCAGTTCTCAAGGAAAAATTTTGGTAAACAATCGATGGATGAACTTATTTTCTAAAATAAAACAGTTAGTTATTGTCATTTGGAGCCGAGATTGTTTTTGAGAATGACAGGTTACTACTGTATACACAGAGGATAAGGGTCATAAGATAGAAAAGTAATCAGCTATCAAACACCGTGGGTGGGCACACAATGAGTGATCATGATACTTTTTACAAAAATACGGCAAAATGGGTTTTGTCGTGTAATAAATTATTCTTTACTGGACCTTTAAAATAACTACATGTTAAATCTTGTAAAAATGGTAAAGACGTATCGAATAGTGCAATAAGAGTTCATTCCAAATAATTTTGTTGAATTCAGATTAACAATACCAGACAATTGAAAGATAACATGTCATTTACGACAATCGCCTCGGTCCTCGGGGAGGTCGAGGGTTCGTTCGATCACCGACCAGTTTAAACCCGACCTGAGAAACTGCTTATTCCCCGCTAAGCATGCGGTATTGAGAAATAAGAGAAAATACTGGTCGGCTAGGAGTGGAATAATATTTCCGTGTAGGGTGACAGGACAGTGATGTTCCCGCGAATTGTTATCTTGTGAACGTTGTCGTTTGTTGGTGTTTACATATTTGTTTTTCGTTTATTGTTTTGTGCATAATCAGGCCGTTAGTTTTCTAGTTCGAATTGTTTTACATTTGTCATTTTGGGGTCTTTTATAATTTACTATGCGGTTTTGGTTTTTGGTCATTGCTGAAAGCCGTGCGGTGACCTTTAGTTGTTAATACCAACTCTCTGTATCCAACAACCCAAGTTTGGGACGGTTGGTCACCGATTTTGTTGAAACTTTCTGACAACAAACATTGACATAAAATATAAAAAAAATATGTTAATGTCGCACTGTATGTTGATTGGTTACCATGGCAACAGAGATTGAATTAAAAAAAAAATTGGGGGATTTTCTGATTTCAGTCACTTTTATATTATATAAAATGTTTCTTAATCTTCAAATCATGTTAAAATTTGACAAATACTAGTTCAAAAACTTTTTAATATTTGTTTTCTCAATTTTACACCAATTGTTTCTTCCATCAGGGTTATAACAGAAATACTTTTGGGCATATTTCCTTCATCATTTATGAGAAAACGCATCCACTCCTGTATAAAGTAAATGATACATTCTACGTAATTTTGTCTCTGGTGGAGAGTTGTCTCCTTGACAGTCATACCACATCTTCTTATTTTTATATAGCACGTTAAAAATCGGACTTAGTGCAAAGCAAGTTTCATATATACTTTACACTAACAATTTCATCGTCAGTCCCAATATTAATGATACAGAGGCGTAGGAGAGGGTGGGGGAGAGGAGACAACTTCCGAAAGTAAAAAAAAAACAAACAAACTTTTCTACAGTCTAATCGTCTGGAAGTAATCATTGGCATTTTTCATTTTCTGTTATATTTGTCACTGGACATTAAACACCAACATGTCGTTTCATATCAAACACTTATCCTCACTTTTTAATGGAAACAGATACTTTTTTCACAACTTAAAAAACAAACTACGCCTTTGGCAAATCTGATATGCAAATTATACTTACTGTGAAGTACTGATCTATGGTTCAGTACTGTCATATACATTAAAGGTTATTTTTATGAGTGACTGGCACTGATTTATATGAATGAAGAAGTCCAGCAATCATAGAATAGTATTATATATCGCCAGTGTCATAAAAACAACGAAAAATATGAGGGATGGTGCAAGTTAGATAAGAAATCAGTTTTATTTTTAAAGAAAAAAAATGCAGGAAGAAAATTTTAACAATAAAACTGAGTTAAAACCTCCATCTAATTTATATTGTGTTTTTACACGTTCAAAATGATTAGACGACTTCCATGACTGTACCATAGCAAGTAATTCACCGGTCTTTTTAATTTATTTAATGGTCTTAACATTGATATCAGATAATTATTAGGGTGGGCATTTACAGGCTGTAGTAAAATATCTTATACATTTCCTTTTATCTGTTTGCAATAATGATTATGGAAGGGATATATAAACCATTCTGTTCATACATCATCAGGTACCAGTGTTTTTCATTCGTCCAGTCTTGATCGAAAGCAGTCCACTGCTTCGCTATACACAGTCAGGGATTTCGTTACCACAAATTACTTAAATTCTTCCATAGATACAAAGAGTTGGTTTGCAAGTTTAGCTGTACCTGCAAAAAACTTATTTCAGACGGAATAGCACATCCTAAATTTTACGGTGAAGTTGTTTACCGAGCCCGGAAATTTATATACGATCCGGGTAAACTTATCAATTCTTTAAATAAACTTATGACTTATTCTAAAAGGTTACTAATTCAACACTGTAATTAAGATCTTTGAATATTGTTTTTATTGGTATAAATATTGATTTTGTTATCATTAAATTAAAATCATACTAATAGTTTTGTTATACACATATGCATTTTAACGGTACTACAATCTGTCGATCCTTTATTTTGACATTGCACAAGTCATGTTTTTCTCTGACTGTTAATGACGTCTCTACACTAAATCCATTGGATGTTGGTTGTGTACTGATTGATATTTTTGTCTTAGATACATGATTTTTTAAAGGCAGTGCTTTAATGCCTTTCTAGTTGCCGGGTTAATCCTTCCTTCCGCGATATCCAACTTATCTACGTGGGGGGTCATTAAACTCTAAGTAGATCCGGAAATGTTGAATTCCCTCCTCTCTTATTGCGATATAAAATGTTTTTTGTTTCATTTCATTTACATTGGGAAATAGAGAAACGATCATTGTGTTTTGTTAGTTTTAAAAACTTTTGATATATTAGTATTTTGCATTATAAGCAGTCAACCGATTGACAAACTAGAATTATTTGAATTCCGTGTGGAAAGAGCTCGGGTTAATTTCGAGTGTTATCTGCAATCTAGATGTTTATAAATCATTTCAGTCGTTGATATAATAATTAAAGGTCGACTGAACATGAATTATATTATACAATTTAAAGCGCATTTCTGTTTATGCACGTGAACCCGTCTAACGTTATTTTCGCAGTTATATAAAGTATCAAATTATCGTTCCTGAATAGGTGGCGCCGTGGTAGCGGATCCTGTTCCTCTTCTTCCGGTTTCTGCACTGTGCAACTATTTCAGTTATATTTTAATTAACGATGCCAAGTACTTGTTGTTGTGTACCTGGATGTCATTTAAGAGGAGGACATGCATTTCCAAATGACTTAAAAAGAAGGAAAAGTTGGATCAACGCCATGGCCCATACGCAGATTGGACGAGAACACGATGATATCGTGGAGTCCATCTCAATCAGCTGTTGTTTGCAAGGCACGTTTTACTGAAAAAGACTACGTGCAGGAAACTATTCATGGTAAAACTCTATTTTCTTTGTGAAATATATAGTTATATATGTAATCGCCATGCGAATAAACCAAAGTCTGTTTACAACCGCAATTATCGTTTTAGAATAAAAGGGGGTGGGTAATTCAAGACGTCATAATTTTTTGGATTACGATTCAATGTGATCTGTTTGAGATTTTTTGGTGATTGCTACAATTATAATGATTTCTTACAAGAGGTATATCATACTGAGAATTATTTTAGCAGTAATTATGCTAATGTAGTAATGACAGGAATGCATAAGCTATGCCTCATAGACTTTCTTGAAAAATATCAATGACAATGTTAACAGGAACAAAACAATGACATGCTCTCATCTATATTATAGTTATTTAGGTACAAACAATGTACGTTTGTTGCATAAGTCTCTCATTGTTTGTCCTTTGGATTTACATAACATACATTGAATCAGGCAAACATAGTTTTATCCAGATTGTAATGAATAAATCTAGTTAATATTTCGCCAGGTAGTACAAAGTATACATTGCTAATGGAAGTTCATTTAATTATAAAAAAACTAATGTTTTATAACCTTTTTCAGGGCGCAAACCCACCATACAGAGACTTAAGTCTACTGCAATTCCCAGCCTATTTTCCTGGACCAAGCAAGAGACTGAATTGTCCGCAAAAAGAAAAATCAGGGCAGTTTCCTGTGAAAACAAAAGAACTAAACTTGATGAATATTGTAGTAGAAATCTAGAGGAAAGTTTTGATTGTAAAGTTGGTTTTCCTGAAGAAGTCATTCATACTGCAGAAAGGATTTATGACTGTCCACCACCAACTGCCGAGCTAATGTTGAGCTTCACAGATGGAATTACGCAAACACCATCAATGCCTATGTTTTTAACAGAGAATTTTGAAATGAAGACACGTGACACAGCCATGCATTTTTATACCGGTTTAGAGTTGTATACTAAATTTTTATTTGTTTTGACCACACTTGGTCCAGCAGCACATTGTTTGAGATACATATATTTTCAAATTGATAGGGTGTCAGTTGAAAATCAGTTTTTTTATGACTTTGATGAAATTGAGGCATCATACAACCAACTTTGAACTGTCTAGATTCTAGATTGAATCTAGTGATAAGAATATTGTGTATACATGGATTGTTTTTATGTCTAAACAGTGGTGTGAGGCTAACACTTGGCCATCTAGTGGTTTAGTCAGGTATTTTTCACCATCCAACTTCAAATTAAAGTTTCCTACGACTTGGATTATTATTGACAGCCCAGAATATCCCGTGATAAAACCTAAAGCTCCTAGAGCTCAGGCAACCTTTTCATCAAATAAAAACAGAAACACTGAAAATTCTTGAATGTTCGACACCTGGTGGTTTAGTCAACTATGTCTCTATGTCACATAGAGCGAATTATTGGACTTGGCAAAACATACAAAATTCTAATAAATCCTATGAATGGAACTGAAACAAAACTTTCATCTGAAATAACATTTAGTTGTTTTATGTTGTGTAATTTTAGAACTTGTATTGTGCCAAAGGATGCATAAATAAAAGTGACGCAATGAATTTTGTTCTGATATATATATATTTACAATTACATGCACATGTAAATTGTAATGCATATAAAAATAAGGAGATGTGGTATGATATTCAGTGAGTTTATCAAACTAAAGTGCATAAGAAATGGGTTTAAGCAGTTACAGGTGTTATTGTCACCGTACAATCTCCAACAATGAGAAAAACTCGTACCCTGTAAAAAATTTCAGAGATCTTACAACTAAGTTTTGTTGTCTCACCTTGACTTTGGTGAATTTTTTATATCTGTTGATGTAAATATAAAAAAGAAGATGTGGTATGATTGCCAATGAGACAACTCTCCACACATGCACAAGAGACCAAATGACACAGAAATTAACAGCTATAGGTCACAGTACGGCCTTCAACAATGAGCAAAGCCCATACCGCACAGTCAGCTATAAAAGGCCCAGAAATGACAATGTAAAACAATTCAAACAAGAAAACTAACGGCCTATTTTATGTAAAAAAATGAACAAATATAACAAATATGCAACACATAAACAAACGACAACCACTGAATTACACTTTTTTAGGCTTCTGACTTGGGACATGCACATACATGTACATACAGAATGTGGCGTGCTTAAACATGTTAGCGGGATCCCAACCCTCCCCCTAACCTGGGACAGTGGTGTAACAGTACAATATAAGAAAGAACTATAAAAATCAGTTGAAAGAGGCTAAACTCATCAGATGGATAAATACAAATACAAGTGGACGTGGTCTGGTAGTTGTACATCCAAACAACAAAAAGACACTAAGTACAAATCTGAGAGTACTCGCAGTTACTGACAGCTTGTTCAAAGCCACTAACAACTGATAAAAAAATCTTGCATCTAAGACTAAATTATCAATCCGTAAGCTCCCTTTAGAATTTTATAAGTTTTAGATTTTACATTTCTGAGTTATGGGGTTTTATTCATTAAAAAAGGGGGGATTTTCCAGTTTTTGGACAACAACTCAAAAATGCTTTAAGCAGTTCACATGAAACTTTGGTGAATTATTTATAGCTATTGATGTAATCTCCCTATTGATTTTCATAAATTTCAAATATGACATTGAGAAGAAATTGAACTTTATTTGTTTATAGTCTGGCAACAGATTTATTAAGTATTGCACAACAGCAAGAAATCTTTAATTGAATATAAATTCGATTCATATAACCGATTTCAAGTTCATTGACTACATTTATTCAGAAACTATAATATGTCAAATATTTAATTACAATCCAAATTCAGACCTGTATCAAGCTTGAATATTGTGTCCATTTTTGCCCCAGCTGTTCAGGGTAGTACCTCTGCGGGTGTATCCAGCTGCGCTCAGCGAATCAGTTTATTTCTTAATTAAGAACTCCTTTTTATACGACTGCAAAAAAAATTTTGTGGGTCGTATATTGGTATGACGTTGTCGTTGTCCGGCGTCGTCGTCCGAAGACACATTAGTTTTCGCACTCTAACTTTAGTTTAAGTGAATGGATCTCAATGAAATTTTAAAATAAGGTTCAATACCACAAAAGGAAAGTGGGGATTGATTTTGGGGGTTATGGTACCAACAGTTAAGGAATTAGGGGCCAAAAAGGGGCCAAAAATAAGCATTTTTGTAACTTCCAGACATAACTTGTGTGTAAGTGTATGGATCTCTCTGACATTGTACCACAAGGTTCCATATCACAAAGGGAATGCTGGAATTGATTTTTGGGGGTAATGGCCTCCAAATTTTAGGAATTAGGGGCCAAAAAGGGGCAAAAAACAAGCATTTTTCTAGTTTCATTACAATAACTTGTGTGCAAGTCTATGGATCTCTCTGACATTGTATCACAAGGTTCCATATCACAAAAGGAATGCTGGGATTGAATTTGGGGGTAATTGCCTCCAAATTTTAGGAATTAGGGTCCAAAAAGGGGCAAAAAACAAGCATTTTTCTAGTTTCATGGCAATAACTTGTGTATAAGTGTATGGATCTTTATGAAATTGTACTACAAGGTTCCATATCACAAAGGGAAAGCTGGAATTGAGTTTGGGGGTAATTGCCCAAAAAGTTTAGGAATAAGGGGCCAAAAATAAGCATTTTTCTAGTTTCCAGACAATAACTTGTGTTCAAGTGTATGGATCTCTCTGAAATTGTACTGCAAGGTACCATACCACAAAGGGAATGCTGGGATTGATTTTGGGGGTAATTGCCTCCAAATTTTAGGAATTAGGGGCCAAAAAGGGGCAAAAAACAAGCATTTTTCTAGTTTCATGACACTAACTTGTGTGTAAGTCTATGGATCTCTCTGACATTGTATCACATGGTTCCATGTCACAAAGGGAATGCTGGGATTGATTTTGGGGGTAATTGCCTCCAAATTTTAGGAATTGGGGGCCAAAAAGGGGCAAAAAACAAGCATTTTTCTAGTTTCATGGCAATAACTTGTGTGTAAGTGTATGGATCTTTATGAAATTTTACTACAAGGTTCCATATCACAAAGGGAAAGCTGGGTTTGAGTTTGGGGGTAATTGCCCTAAACGTTTAGGAATTTGGGACCAAAAAGGGGCAAAAAAACAAGCATTTTTCTAGTTTCCAGACAATAACATGTGTTCAAGTGTATGGATCTCTCTGAAATTGTACTGCAAGGTACCATACCACAAAGGGAAGGCTGGGATTGAGTTTTGGGGTGATGAATCATAAGGGGGTTCAAAAAATTTGGGGGAGGGGATTCTTTTTCCTTTTTTTTCTTTAAAATTTTCCATTTTAAATTGGTTATTTCTGATTTATATATAAAAGCAAATAATAATGATATGGTTTGAATAGGTAAATTAAATTTTTTTAAGTATCTTAGACCACTTTCATTCTGTGTCAGAAACCTATGCTGTGTCAAATATTTAATTACAATCCAAATTCAGTGCTGAATCAAGCTTGAATGTTGTGTTCATACTTGCCCCAACTGTTCAGGGTTCGACCTCTGCGGTCGTATCAATGTGCGCCCCAGCGGAGCATTTTATTTCATTCATAAATTACTTTATGCTTGGAAATATAATTTTGCTTGGAGTTGAAAGAGTTGACATGTTGCAATGTACATTTACTCTACATAGTTCTATGGTACCAAATCAAAAGTTTATATAAAGAAAGAAGTCAAAGGTTTCCCATCATAGTTAGTTACATACATTTTTTTTTGTACCTGAGGTCGTTGAATATAGATCATTATATAAATAAGGAGATGTGTTATGATTGCCAATGAAAAAACTAAGGATTTTCTTATCCAAGGAATAGATTACCTTAGCCGTATTTGGCACAACTTTTTGGAATTTTGGGTCCTCAATGCTCTTCAACTTTGTACTTGTTTGGCTTTGTTACTATTTTGATCTGAACGTCACTGATGAGTCTTATGTAGACGAAACACACGTCTGGCGTATTAAATTATAATCCTGGTACCTTTGATAACTAATTTGACTATAAACATAGATAAAAAAGGTACAAACTGGACATAATGCACTAGTTCATAAACAAGTGAGAACAATCGCTTTCATATAGTGCTCAGAATATGACATTCATAAAACTTATTCAATATCATTAGAGAACTCTAAATCTTAAATACTGAAAGCCACCTCTGATAAGTACACTGTACTATGCAAGATAATGATATAACTGGACTTAAAATACACACAACCTGTAATTAACTGCCTTTACAGCGCTTTCGTGCTTTGATTTTATTAGTTGTTATTGGCTTTGAACTATCTGTTAGTAACTACGAGTACTCTCAGATCTGTACTTGGTGTCCTTTTTGTTGTTAGGGATGAGGGATGAATAAATACCCTGCCACGTCCGGTCTGTGTTTATGTTTTCCTGCTTTGTATAGATCTGATGAGTTCAGCCTTTTTCAACTGATTTGTATAGTTTGTTCTTATGTTCTTATGTTGTGCTGTTACACCACTGTCCAAGGTTAGGGGAGGGTTGAGCGCTCAGAAACATGTTTAACCCCGCCATATTCTTTATGTGCCTACTGTTTTGTTATAAATTAGGCCGTTAGTTTTCTCAATTGAATTGTTTCATATTTTTCATGTCGGGGCCTTTTATAGCCGACTATACGGTATGGGTTTTTCTCATTGTTGAAGGCCGTACTGTTGCTTATAATTGCTTACATCCACTTTATTTGAAATTTGGCGGATAGTTGTCTCATTGGCAACCTACCTCATCTCCTTATTCTTAAACAATAGTGTTTTAGTGTATTATTTAATCTTCAAACACAAACATCAAGTCGTTAGAAGATTTGGAATTTTTATTATTGTCAAGGTAATAGGACAAAGGCCTGCGACTCATTTCACAAAAAATCGTACGAGTGAAAGTAATCGTAAGTCATGAACATTTCAGTATAACTTACGATCAATTTTAATCGTAAGATATTTTGTGAAATGAGCGCCAGAGTCACTGATTCTGGAAGCTTGTAAACTAGGTAGGACTCAAGTCTTCGATCCAATCATTAGGGGCATATTCAGGATTTTCAAACTAGAGGCTCTCAAGAGCCTGTGTCGCTCACCTGTATTTACTGATGCTTTGGAAATCATGTAAAATAAGGTTAAAATCATAATTAATAGTATTAGATATTATAATGATATCTAAGATAATAACAAAAAACTGCAAAATTTTTGTAAAATTACTAACTCAGGGGCAGCAACCCAACAACGGGTTGTCGGATTCGTCTGAAAATTTCAGGGCAGATAAATCTAAATCTGATGAACATTTTTGCCACCAGTCAGATTTGCTCTAAATGCTTTAGTTTCAGAGATATAAACCAAAAACTGCATTTTACCCCATTGTTCTATTTTTAACCAAGTCGGCCATGATGATTGGAAGGCAGGGTCATCGGACAAAATTTTTAAACTAGATACCCTTATAATGATTATGGCAAAGTATGGTTAAATTTGTCTCAGTAGTTTCAGAGAAGAAGATTTTTGTAAAAGATTACAAAAATTTACAAAAAATTGTTAAAAATTGACTATTAAGGGCAA